GCGGAGGAAGAGCTAGTAGCACCTATGTTACGAGGCCATTCACTATCTTTTTCTTCTCCCTTCCTTTAGCATCGAGATGCATCTTGGTCATGTTGACATTTAGAGATGATGAATCACCCTTTTGCTACTATGTAGCAACTACTTCTTGCAATGACCCCACACACTCCTACATAATTGAAATAATTATAATATTAAATCATAAATTTATTTTTTAGATTATATTATAGATTTATATTTTCAAAAAAAAAAAGTTATCATTATTGTCTAGGATCATCTATCAATGAATGACACATCTCCCTACTTGTGAGTGTTTAGGAACATCTCGTAAGGATTTGAATTACGATCCAATTTACTATGCTGAAAAAAAAAAAACACAAAATGATATGAGATGCAATAAATGTAAATATTAATTTACAACATAATGGATGATAAGATTTTTCATCCATTCAATGTGATCAATCACGAGAGATGGACCTCTTCGTATGTCAAGATGGGCCCGTATCGACACCATCTATTTTTGACATATGATTTTGAGATGCTTGCTAAGATCAAGCTTGAAACTCGGGAGTGGCCCATCCCACACCTGCTTTGTAATACATGTGGGTATGTTAGTTTTTTAAAAAAAAAAATTGTTCAGCACGTTGGAGTACCACCTTCATGCCGGACACTCTCATTCACCCTTAATCGAGCACGTCCATTACTGCATCTCATAGAAAGCACTTCTACATGAAGAAAAAAATTAATATTAGTATATTTCATGTTAAATTAATACTTTAAATATAATATAAAAAAGTAATTAATATGTTATCCCGAACTCATTAAAGTAGAAGTCTTTTATCTCTAGGGAGATAAACTTTCACATGGAGCTACTAGTGTCTAATCGCTCTTCGAAAATCGCGAGTGATTCAATTGGAGCACTTACTTGATAGAACCAAACTTTTAAACACATAAAATAAAAAATAAATAATTGAATTAATTATTCAAATAATATATAAAAATATAAAACTAATAATCACATGTAAAGCATATTACTTGCTAGTTATTAATGAGATAAATCGTTCGGCTAGTATCGGACCTCAAAGTTGACCATTCGGTTACTAACTTCTCAATTAGGTGATAGTCAAGGTGATTATAGCAAGTTAGTCTATATGTAATAATTAGTTTTATATTTTCATAACTAGTAAGTAGTATGTTTTACATAAAATAATTAGTTTTATATTTTCATATATTGTATGGGAATCATTAATTCACTTATTTATTATTTATTTGTTTTGTTTGACATTTTGGTTCCATCAAACAAGTACTTCATAAAAATCATTGTAATTTTCAAGGAGTGGGTAGACGTTAGTGGCTTCACAAGGAAGTCTATCTCCATGGAGATGAAAGACTTCTACTTCAATGAGTTTAGGATAATATATTAATTATTTATTTATATTTTATTTAAAGCGTTATTTTAAAATGAAAAGTACAAATATTATTTTTTCCTTCATGTAGAAGTACTTTTTGGGTGATGCAATTGTTGACATACTAATTAAGGATGCATAACGTACTAATTAAGGATGAGTGGGAGAGTCTCGAAATAGAGGTAGTACTCGTAACATGCTCAACAAGTCGAAGACTAGGGATAACGGATGTGTTTGTTAAACGGAAGGTGTGAGAAGCATGGCACCTACACTAGGCCACTCCCGAGTATCAAGTTCGATCTTAGTAGACATTGTGGAACCATATGTGGGAGACAAGTAACAATGGTGATGGCCCTTCCAAGCACACTCTGGAGGGTCTATCTCTTTGATCGAGCATGTTGAGCATTTGGTACATATTATATTATCTATTGTGTTATTAACTAATTTTTTTGTTTATTTCATCTCATATTATTTTGTTTATTTTTTTTTTAATATTGTAAATTGGAATCGAAATCCATGTGAGCTATTCATGATCACTTAAGGATGGGATATTGGTGTGAGTTTGTTTATGCTTCGTCGTATGCACCCAAATTAAACTCCTAAGCTCCTATAACATAAATGTAGTAAGGGAGAGTAGGGATCGATCCCACGAGGAATTCAATCGTGTTAGTCGTCACAAGTCTAGAGAAACATTAAATAAATAAAAAAAGAGGTTTTGATTTAATTGAGATATAACTGAAACTAAACAAATTAAATTCAGAAAATGAGTTTAAAGTAAATAATCAAGTAAACGAACCTTGGTTCGGGTAACATCCACTTTTGGAACTTGAGATTTATCCTTGGTGCACGAAATATCGATTTCCATTCAAATATTTGTTGTGATATTGAAATCAATCTTTTCTTACGATTAGCCAACTAGAAATATGTATTCTAATCAACCCTCATTATTTAACAACCCTAGATACAATCTAAGATTTAATCAAATAATGGCTTTATATACTAAAAAGATCAACAAAGCGAGATAACACAACACATGTAGTTGCATTTAATCTAGTTGAACAAACCTCCTAAAAGTCATTAGTTTCGACGCAACGAAACCATACACTCCTAGTTGCTACACAAATCAAAGGGATTGAACAATTACGGATTCAATATTCGATCTAGCTATAGATTATTTAAGCTAATAAACTAATTGTACACATTAGAAATTAACCCAAATAATCATGAAAATAAGCATAGAAGAAAGTTCAATACTTGAAATAAATAAAGCTGATTTACATTAATGTTTAAGCACCTCAAAATCTTTGATTTCCAAAAGCTTCGATTACCTTCACCAAGGAGAAGAGTCTAGCTACTCATGGCGACCACCATAGCTAGAGAGAGAGAGAATAAGGCTGCCTCCTATGAGAATAATACCTAAAAGTCTCTTTGCCCTAGTCTCGCTAGGTCTCTATTTATACAAGGTGTCTATTTTTCAAAAAAGGTACATAATATTCTCTCCTCTTTTGGTAGGTCGGCGTCTTTTTCGGACAAATCACGCAAATTTTGTTTCTTTCGCAGTCCGTTGTCCGTTTCGCAGATTTCAGCATGCCCGTGTCGAGTTGTAATGTGCCCGCGCTTCTTGTGTTTTCCGAGTAGTTGAATTGACTCGATCACAAATTCTCTTTATATAACTCTTTTAACACCATTTTTCAATCGGTTCCACACCTATCACATAGAATACAAAAGGCACTTAAGTTTTATCATTTAGACATCTCAAAATAGTAAAATATAGGGGAATTTAGCAATTCAAACATATGTTTTAAGCATTATCGGATATTCATCGATAGGTGGTCGCGAGATAGTAATGGTAAGGTTTTATATTTTTTCGAAAATATATGTACATCAACCAATATAATCTAAAAAATATATTTAAATTTAATATTGTTATTATTTTAATGACTTAAGAGCACGTGCAATCAATGAAATAAGCAAGCTGCTAAGGAGCGACAAGAGAGTGATTCATAAGCTTCAAATATTGAAATATCTAAGATATATTTGGATGTTGTTAGATGAGAGAAGAAGTTGAGAGCTTACGGCATCGAAACTTATGCGTCCCACTATTACTCGTATTCGACACTAGCTTTTTCTTTGCCACTTTGATGTACCTTGGTGGTAATATCCAAGAGGTTTCTACCCAGTACAAAGATCGGATCAAGGGGATGAAGGCAATCATCCAACAACAAGCTAGTAAAGTTGAAAGTATATATGTAAACTTAATTGCGAGAGAGTTTTGAAGTTGTTAGATAACCTTCAGCTGCCTCTCGTTCCTCCTACTCACCCTCCCACAATCCAATAGCTAATCATTCCTCTCAATAACCAACGGTCGAAAGATGATGCAAAAGATGGTGATAGTGACTAAATTTTTTTTTATAAAAAAAGCTCTTAATATTTTTGTACATCTTAACAAATTTATTTATTTGTTTTATTTTAATTAATACAATTTAAATCTTATTTAATAACCTAACGATTTTAATAAGGTATTGTTTATATTTATTTGTTGTCACAATCACTAATAAATGGCAATTTATTAAAGAAATAAAAACAAAATAAAATTAGTGGCGAAACTAACGACGTAATAGAGATGAAATTTAGCGACGAATGACACTCAATCACTAAATAGTGATGGACTAAATAGTGATGGAAATAGCGATGGAATTGTAAGGATATTAACGACTAAAAAATAATAACTACTCAATCCATCGTTATTTAGCAACGAAAATAAGAAAAAATAGTGACGGATACGATACGGTGGGGAAGACTAATTTATAACTATTTAGCGATAGATTAGTAACGAATTATATTTTATTTTGAATTCGTCACTAAAGTCATTTAGTGACACATTTTTAGAAAATAGTAACGGAATAATCCGTTGCTAGTTTTTGTAATGTTTGTAGTGTTTAAAATTTTCCTGCTTAGCCTTTGTAAAGGATTTAAAACCTTTTCTATTTGGACGTTTATCTTGTTTTCTGATTTGAATATTAATACTTATCTTATTTAACATTTTTGCGAGCCAGAGATTGACTCCGAAATCGATTTGTTGTCCTTACTTGTATTAGAAAATATCGTTTTCAATATATCGGATTAGAAGCATAGCATATTTAAACTCGATTTGCTTAACAAATGTATCTAATTGAATTTTATAAATTCAATTGGATTTAAAGATTCATTTAGTTTATTGTTGAAAGGTTTTTAAAAAACACTTGATCAAAGTTAAATGAGGTACTTGTAATTAATATATAGCCTTTGTCCCAGTTAGGATAAATGTTGGAATACTACACTTCCCTCATGTGAAAACATTAGAAAGGCTGTAGGTTAGGAGATGAGAAGAGATTATATCAGAAAAATAAACGTTATAAATACTGGTCAGATCACCAGCAATATGATCAGAAGATAGATTAAGAAAAATTAACATTACAAATGAGGAAGAGATTATGTCATAAACTGTTGTTATGGCAATTTAAGGATCCAATGGACATGTTTCATTAATTGGTAATCCATAAATTGTTCGACAAGAAATTATCTCCATCTATTTATTATTGCAGTGAGAAACCTCAATTAATTATTTTTGGTAGATGCAGGGAGAATAACTTTAGCCCTTCTAAATGCAAAAGGAAATGCAGGACCGTCCAACACCAACAATCTCTTTCCATTCTCCTTCACAATACCAGCAGAAACACGCCTTGAGCTAGGACAGCAGTCTGCGCCAGGAAAAGGAATGATACAATTCTTGCGCCAGGCCAAAGTATAGAGACCTTGTTCATTCTTGACAATATTGAAGTACCAAACTCTAGGTCTGGGTTGTCTGACCTTTCTACCAGTCGCAATATATCTCTTTCCTGGTCTCTGGATTCTCCACTACCTTCCATGCAGAAGAATCTGCGCACGTTGTGGCTCCTGAAAATGCAACAGTAAAGTCCCTAGACTCAATTATAACAGTATCTGCAAAACGGGTCTGAAAATAACAGGAATGCCTTGAGAGACATTTGGTGCAACAGGTTCTTGGCCAACATAAAATGGAAATGAACCATTACAAATAGTGGTCAGACCACCAGCAATATAAGTTTCAGCTGGAAGTATATAGTATTCCACACCACTTCTAAGAGGTTTTCCTTCAACATCAAGCACAGGAGACTAGGGTTGAGCCCCTGTGGATATGGACATTAGTAGCCAAATGAAGCTCATGCTTCCAATCAACCTCAACATGACTGCTAGCTAGCTATCTCACACAACAGAAACAAAGCAATAAATGATGCAAGATTGGGGGTTGTCTTTCTATGCATCTTTAGGCTCATATTTGGAACCTATTTATAGTACAGAAAAGGGGCCGACGTAACACATTTCAAAAAGATCAGTATATCTCGGCCAAAAGAAATAAAGAATTAAGTCCCATGTGCAAATTACTTTCTCAGTGAGGGTAATATTTCACCACTAATAGGATTAGCAGTGTGCCTCCTTTTTGTTAGCGTGGACTATTGAGATACACAAGGACATGTCCCATGTGGCTATTCGATCGTAGTTCTTTCTCTAGTGAATAGGGCAGGCTTGAGAAAACGTTTCTTCCCCGTACCAAAGAGATTGAGACCATGAAGCAAATTATGCTAAGAATTTTGCATAGGAAATCATTGAGGAAAGACAAACATCCAGAATCCACCTCAAACATTGGAACAACTTCTCTCAAAACACTTTCAAATCAAAATCAAGAGAGATTTAATGTGCCAAAGAGTCTGTTTATTAAAATTTCCAAATGCATCCAGGTGCTTAATAGGCTGCTGAACACTCTTTCCTTCCTCCAAAACTCTCCTCCTCTCCACTGAAACCACGGCTGCAGCATTACTAAAATGATGAATAAAGACCCAAATTAGCTGGATGATTTAATTATCATACAGCATTTTAAATTCATCTCCCAAAAGATAACATCCAAAAAAATATATATATAGATTAATTTGTTTCAACCATAAAAAGGAGACTGTTTGAATAAAGATGGCAACGAGTCTAGGTATCCAGTTCATTGAATTAGCCAATCTCATATTCTATCTACTGAAATGTATCACTCTCTCATTCTTTTAATCCGGCCACACCATTTACCCGGTTATTTTAAATGTTTAGAATTTGTAAAAATTCATATTGGAAATCCAACTAAAATAGAAAAACTTAGAAATGTTATAAAATAAACAAAAATAATATGAGAATTAAAAGAAAGGATGACAAGAAAAATGAAAACACTATAATGTGATCACAAGTAATAAGAACTTCAAAGTTTCTCTTATTCTCTCTAGAAAACTTGCACCCCAACTAATAAACAATCAAGCCTATTTATAGGCTTCAAAATTCAGAAGAGAATTGAAAAGTATTATGAATAATTAAAAGTATATCAATTGCATCACCCTTTCAATTTCTTATATTGAATGATGAATTGAATTACATTAAGAATCATGAGTAGTGGGGATATGAAAAGTAAGTGAACATTCATATAGACATTCATTATTTCATAACACTTCCCCTTGAATGTCCATTATAAAAGGAATATACGTCGTTAAAACCTCACTAAAAAAATCCGAGTGGGAAAAAAAATCCTAGTGAAGGAAAAAGAGTACGGTATTCTTTGTACATATTAATCCCCATATTGGTCTCCTCTTGTTGAAAACATTATTTAGGATCTCTAAGATGATGCATTTCAATCTTGTGAATCATCTTCTCAAAAGTTTTGGTAGGTAATGCCTTAGTGAACAAATCATCTGGATTGTCACTTGATCGAATTTGTTAAATATTAATATCACCATTCGTTGCGGATCATGTGTAAAAAATAATTTTGGTGATATATGCTTCATTCTATCACCTTTGATGTATTCTTTCTTTAATTGAGCTATGCAAGCGGTATTATCTTCATACTAGATTGTTGGAACTTCCTTACTAGTGGATAAACTACATGTCTCTCGAATATAATGGGTCATTAATATTAACCAAATACATTCTCAACTTGCCTCATGAATTGCTAATATTTCCGCATGATTTGAAGATGTGGCGATTATAATTTTCTTCATAGAACGTCATGATATAGATGTATCTCCATAATGTAAATACATAACCGAGTTTGAGATCGAGCTTTGTATGGATCGGATAAATATCCATTTGCATAACCAATTAATACTATCTTTGAGTTATTAGAGTAATATAAGCCCATATCAATTATTCCTCGAAGATAACGTAGTATATATTTAATTTCATTCCAATGTCTTCGTGTTGGAGAAGAACTATATTTTGCTAATAAATTTATAAAAAATACTATATCGGATCGGTTATTATTAGCAAGATATATTAATGCACCAATTGCACTAAGGTATGGTACTTCAAGACTAAGAAGTTCTTTGTTATCTTCTCGAGGTCGAAAAAGGTCTTTTTGGACATCAAATGAATGAATTACGATTGGACTAATCAATAGACGAGCCTTATCCATGTAGAATCTTTGTAGTACTTTTTCGTATTTGTTGACTACGAATATAAATTACATCTTTTAAGTGTTCAAACTACAAGACGAGATAAAATTTTGTTTTTTCAAGATCTTTTATATCAAATTCTTGTTTTAAATAATTTATGGTACTTAAAATCTCTTCGGGAGTTTCAATTATATTCAAATCGTCAACATATACAACAATTATCACTAAGACGATTATGCCACATGCGTCTAAATTATTTCAATCCATATATAAATCTTTGTAATTTAATTGAATACATCTCTTGAGAATGTATTTTACATGCTTCAAGCATTTTAAGTCCTTCTAAAATTTTCATATAGATATCATTATCAAGTGAATCATATAAATAGATCGTGATCACATCCATTAAATGCGTATGAAGTTTTTTATTTGTTGTTAAGCTAATAAGATAACGGAATATAATTGCATCCATTACAGGAGAATATGTCTCCTTATAGTCAATGCCGAGCCTTAATTTGTGTAAACCCTTGTGTTATAAGTCTTGTTTTATATCTCAAAATTTCATCCTTTTATCCTACTCGGCTTAACATTTTAGGTGTTTTAACTATGGGTCCAAAAGTTGTTCGTTTCATGAGAGACCTTTAATTCTTCCTGAATTGCATCTTTCTACTTAGGCCAATAGTCTCTATGTCAACATTCTTCAATAGATTTAGGCTTAGGATCTTTATTCAAAATATCAAGTGCAACATTATATGTAAAAACAATGAATGTTTCTATTTGGTTCCATTTTCTCCTTGTATTAACATAATTTATCCAAATTTTTTTATTTTCCTCAAGCATTTGAGCTTCTTCTATAAACTTGTTATAAAAAGTATCTTAAACCATTTTATCTCGCCTCTTTTATATTTTTTTATTATTTTTCTTTTTTTTTCTTTTGAGGATCTTTATCTTCGGAATCGATCGATCTTCCATGCTTTAGGCATGCTTTAGATTCATTTGATCTAATATTAATAAGTTGTCCTATTAGGACATCGATTCTAATAAGAGCATTCTTAGCAAGAACATGTGATTTAGTCACTCTTTTTGGATCGGAGAATGCATCCGGAAGTTGGTTTGATAAGACTTTGCAAATGAATTGTCCTCTCGAACTTCAATTTCACATTGTTTTATACGAGGATCAAGATGATATAAAAATAAAATATTCCACATAAATTCTTTTTTCAAAATTTTCAACTACTTATTTTATTTAATTTATCCCCCTAATGTTGAAAAAATTGTTTCATTAAATTGACGATCTACAAATTGAGCCATGAAAACATCTCTTGTTAATGGTTCAAGATATTTAATTATAGAAGGAGATTCATATCCAACATATATTTCTAATCTCCTTTGAGGACCCATTTTAGTTCATTATGGAGGAGTAACCGAGACATATACTACACATTCGAAAATCCTTAAATGAGAAATATTAGGCTCATGACCAAAAATCAATTGAAGGGGAGATAACTTCTAATAACTTATGGACTCGATACGAATAAGTGTTACTTGCATGTAAAATTGCATGTCCTAAACATAAACAGGGAGTTTTGTTTTCATAAGTAATAGTTTAGCTATCAATTGAAGGTTTTTGATAAATGATTATGTTAAACCATTTTGAGTATAAACATGAGCGACGGAGTTGTTCAACTATTATTCCAACGGACATACAATAACCATTAAAAGCTTGAGAAGTAAATTCACCGAGCATTGTCAAAGTGAATTATTTTAATGGTATAATCTAGAAATTATACTCGTAATCGAATTATTTCAGCAACCTAAAAACGTCGGGTTTTGAGTTGATAATAAGCATACATGTGACCATTTGATAGACGTATCTATTAAAATCATAAAATATCTAAATGGTCTATATGGTTGATGAATTGGTCCATACATATCACCTTGTTTACATTCTAAAAATACTAGGAAGTCAATCTCAATTTTATTAGGTGATGACTTAATAATAAGCTTACCTTGAGAATATGCGGGACATGAAAACTCATTAGATTGAAGAATCTTACGGTTCTTAATGGAAGTCCATACAAATTTTTAATAATTTTTTACATCATAATTAATCCAAGATGGCCCAACCGATCATGCCACGAATAAAAGAATCGGTAAACTTCGGTTTACTATAACATTTATTTCAATCATTGGAATATTTGTATAATCAATGCCGAAGAAAAGGCATGTAATTTCTCCAATATATATTTTCTACCCGATATAAATTTTGTAATATATAAGTATTCAATACTCTCAACATTTGGTGTTTCAATACAATATCCATTTAAATAAATATCTTTAAAACTCGATAAATTTCTATGGGACTTAGGAGAGAATAATATATCATTTATAATCAAACTTGTCTCTTTAGGTAATAATATATTTGCTTTTCCGGAGCCTTTAATTAAATTGACACTATCGGATATAGTATTAACATTAGCCTTGTCAATTAGTAAATTGGAGAAATACCTTTATTTTTAAGTATAGTATGTGTTTTTGCACTATCCACAAGGCATAGATCCTTCTTTATAATGTTTAAACTAATTACAAACTTGGTAGTATCAATATATTCTTTATAAACTCAAAACAAATAAATAAATAAATATTATAATTATCATAATGTAATAGATATTATAAGAAAATATAAAAATTCTTTATTTATCAATAAAGAAGGTAACAAGATATTAATTTCAATGATTATCATTAATCTAATGATCTTTTCTTTCGGAATCTTCAAAGAAATCAACAACATCTAGGTGTGTCAAATTACCGAAATCTTCAAGAGAAACATTATCACAATCATTATTTTAGTGTATAAAATTTGTCTCTATATCATTTTCTTTCTTTTTCAACAAGCCTTGATAAAGCTCAACTAGGTGCTTTGGCATACGACGGATACATAACCAATATCCCTTCACATCACATCTATAACATTCATTTTCGAAATGTTGACTTGATCTACTTTTATTCTTTTCTTGTTTCTTTTCATAATTTATTCATTTTTGATGGTGAGGTGTATTATTATTACCACTACGATTATAACGATAATTATTTCGATCACGATTATTGCGATAACCACCTCTGCGTCCATGGCTACAACCACGTCCTTGTCTACATCCAAAATTATTATAAGACGTCACATTCACTTCGAGAGAATAGAGTAGACCCGGTTGGGCGAGAGATTCATGATTTTTCATCGGTAGCTCATTATTTTGTTCAATCGTAAGTAAGCATGAAATCAATTTAGAGTATTTTTTAAAACCCTTTTCTCGATATTCGCTGCTTGTCGAAGCATATTCGAGGTATGAAAAGTAGAGAATGTTTTCTCTAACATATCTAATTCGGTAATATTTTCTCTACATAATTTTGGTTCGAAACTGATTCTAAATACTACGAATTATACTCACTTGACTTGTTTTAAAATCTTGTAACCTTAAGTGCATCCAATCATAATGAGCTCTTGAAAGAATTATTGTTTTTTGGTGGTTGTATTATTCCTCTAAATTTTTTCATAGTTCAAGTGGCTCTTTTACTTGTTAAATATTCAGTTTTCATATCCTCATGGAGATGATGACGAAGGAAGATCATTGCCTTAGCACAATTTTGCAAGATTCTTGATTATCATCCATGATTGTTTGTCCAAGACCATTAGCATTTAAATGTATCTCAACATCAAGCACTCATGATAAATAATTCTTGCCCGAAATGTCAAGGGCCACAAAATCAAGCTTTGTAAGGTTTGACATGATAAAAATTCTCTAATACAAGATATAATAATGATGTTAGAGAATAAAAACAAACATAAAATTCAAACGTCTCAAAACAATATGTATTAAATTATTAGAATATTTATTAGATTATTCAAGTTTTTCAAATATATACTAAATGTACCTTTAGATTTAAATTAAAAGATAAATTAGATACATATCTCTTAATAGCCTAGATGATTTACGTCGCTTGGTAGAACAATCGTGCTGATAACATGTTATAAAATAAACAAAAATAATAGGAGAATTGAAGGAAAGAATGACAAGAAAAATGAAAGCATTATAATGTGATCACAAATGATAAGAACTTCAAAGTTTCTCTTATTCTCTCTAGAAAACATGTACCCCAATTAATGAACAATCAAGCCTATTTATAGGCTTCAAAATTGAGAAAAGAATTGAAAAGGACTATGAATAATTAAAAGTACATCAATTGCATCACCCTTTCAATTTTTCATATTAAATGGTAAATTGAATCACATTAAGAATCATGAGTAGTTGGGATATGAAAAATAGATGAACATTTATATGAACATTTATTATTTCATAAAAAGAAATACTATTAAATAATGGTAGTCAAACTACTCCTATGAAAATACCTTAGCCAATAACAAATACATTGAGATCCTATCATGTTTTTTAACATGACAATCGTATTTATTATATCTAAATTAATAAATTCAAATTAAATGATTATGATTTAATATATATTAAAAACAAAAACAATTTAAATCTATATATTTCTTTCAACTAAGCTAATGTGAATGATTGATTTCATATCAACGTTGAGATTTGAAAATGACCTAGCATGTTTTCTTAAGAACATAAAAGAATTCAAATCTCTAGCTAAATATAACAAAACTAGATAACCATGTGGCATGTCAATTTAATTAAAGGGCGTCTTTTATGGTTAAAAAAATTATCCCATATTAAAAAAAATTAAAAAATAGATTAATAATATATAAAGTTGAGAATTAATAATAGATCATCTACCATAATATTTAAGTCTTTTAAATAAAATCTATACTCAAGTCCAACGATTTAACAAAGATTGAAGAATCTAAACTACTTAATAAACCCTAAAAAATGAGCTACAATAAGGAGGGAATTGAGAACCTATCTCACTTTAAATAAATAAATAATAAATAAGTAATATACAAAGTTAATAACTGAAAATAGACCACTCACCATAAAAGTCAAGTTTTCTAAATGAAATCCATACTCAATTACATTAATTAACTGTAAAGGTTTCTTTATTTGTTACATCCAATTGTTGGACTACCAAACTAGATATTCATCTTTCTCTTTTAATTTCAACCTTTCTAGTTGAAATCGTGAACTAAATTCAATTGAATTAAATATCTAGTCTACATTAAAAACAAGCAAAAGGAATTGATTGGATCTCATGTTCATTAATGTATGAAGGAACCGTAAATGGGTAAACCATATCATAGCTTTTGTTGGGGTAATTTAAAGAACTGAAGGTTTACACCAAATGTATATTCTTATGGACGGTAAATTAAAAGAGGATAAACAATTAAAGAGAAAAAAAGATACTCAAATTTACATAACTGGTGAAATTGTTTACTACACAAGCCAATATAGATCAGGATTTCACTATATCAAATAAAGTAAATATAAAATACAAAAGAGTTAAATTCAAACTCAAAAATCTTAAATCCCACATACACCGAAACACACTAGTAAATATCTTTAAAAGCTCAATAGACAATAAAAAAATATGATTCTAAAACAGATCATACAGTTTTTAATTTGATGGACAGTAAATGGGTAAACCATATCATAGCTTCTTCTTTTTTTCAAATGCTCTCTGGTGTATAATCGGATGCATATTTAGAAAAGAACCCATCTCATTCTATTTATACCACGTCTCTACCAAAATGTAGACTTAAGTTTAGAAAAAGTTTTTCACGTGATCATGTTACCACTCAAAAAAGAAAGCTACTGTAAAATATAGCTTAGATATACCAAAAGAATTAGGTAACCTTTATTTGGTTAAAACTGCATCATAACTTTTTTTTTTTTAGTGGTTTGAAAGATTCTTTTATTCTTATATTTCATTTTCATCATTTTTTTTTTTTGTCATAAATTTACTTTTTTTATATTTGGTTTTTGTCTTAATCTTGTCTCTCAATTAATATTTTAGATTAATGGTATTAAATCGCATCGTTAGCTCCACAATATTATGACACATGTCATTTTTTTTCCTTATGCCTTAATCTCATCCTTTTACCTTCTTTTTTTTTTTTTTTCCCTATCTTAGCCATATCATAGCCTTAAAAAAAAAATTAGCAAATGATGACTTTTCGAACGTAATTGAAATAGTAATTTCCCCTAAGTGTTTTTATAATACATTAGTTTCTTGTGAAGGGCTTGGTATGTGTATTATTTAACTAATTTATAATATTTTTTAATTCTAATAAATTATTTATAATTATATATAAATGAATAAATTTGAATTTTTATTAAATAAACATTTTTATTTTTAAATAATTTAATATATATTTTGATAATATAATTAAATTATTATTTTTTAAAAAAATTTACCATAGAGAATAATTTAACTATTTTACAGCAAGGTTGAGATCAAATCAAATGTTTATTATGACTTGTATAAATATAAATATCCACGTGGAATTTTAATAACCGGCGGTTACAATTTAATTAATCATCAAATTTTATTTTATTTTTATTTTGATAAGGGTTAATTTGTATAAATACCCGCCGAATTATATGTTGTTTTGATTAAAACCTGCAGAATTATTTGTATTGATTTTAATTCTTGAACAATATGATCCATTAATTTACCTTCGCTATGTTATTTTATTCATTTTCTAAAAAAGAAGAAGAAGTGAGTTTCACATCTTTTCTCAAAAAATAATTAAAAAATTAACCTGCGGTAATATTATAATGTGTTCACCATTCACATATAAAATATCACCAAAAAAAAAAGGACCAATCCTAAAATATTCCAGATGATTTTTTAGAAGATTTTGTGATTTGGATGTCATATTTAGCTGTTAAAATATATGGATTGGATAAAATCTGAGCTTATTAGTCGTCAGAAAAATTGGTAGGACCTCCGATAAATTTTTATTCGAAGTCCTACCTTGGACTACTAAAATTTGCCTAATTTGCTCATGAGTTCTTTCATTTCTATCAATTTCATATGATTTCGGCTCCTATCTCCTACATTTCTCGTGGGTTATGCATGAGATGAAGATGACGGAAACATAAAATGTCTTTCATACTCTAATCCCACGACCGAAATTGGGTTCGACCAATTCCTGAAATAATCCACCACTTATTTAGGAGTTAAATAGCAGCACTACGACCAATTCCTTAAATTTCTTTTTCCATGAGAAAAATGGCAAATGATATTACACAAGAGTTGGACAAGTCATCCAAAATCAATTACAGAATAATGCTAAATATTATATGCGAAAACAAAAAATGTAATGCACTTCTTAAATTATTCACAAAATTGAAAATAATGTAACACGAAAATATATAGGAAGTTTGGCCACTAAAGTCTTACCTCCTCCTATTTCTATTTTTAATCACTACATGCATAACGAAGAAGCAGCTCAAACCAATTAGACTAGTGGTTATGGCGAGCACTAAGCTAGGTGCTAGCACTGCATAAGTACCAGTCACAAAAGCGATCACCATTGTGGCCATGGAAAACTGGGTAAGAAGTGATGCCGCCTTAAAATAATTTCGCGCACTTGGTCTAAATGGTGACATAGAAAAGTGGATAAAGACAGCAGAGAGGGAAAGGACCATTGACATGGCATCAGATATAACAAAAGCAACGAAAGCTGCTTTTTTGCTTAGAATTGCAGTACCCTGATTAGGACCTTGCTCGTTCTTGTAACCGCCGGGCAGGGTAAATGCTGCTGCAAATGTTACTGTTGATATGAGTACTGCTGTTATTAGATTAGCCTCTCTTCCCTTTTCAATTGCAGTGACGTCCTTCTTTTTGTCCACAACTATGCGCCCACGTGGTCCACTTCCAAAATCTGCCAATGAATCTAAGATCTCTTTCTGCAACAAGTTTTGGCTAAAATATTAGATAACTCCCTCTTTTATCATTTGTTATTCCACAACAAGTATAAGTTTTAAAATAAAAAATAATTTGCTTTATTATCTATCTTTAAGCTCATAAGAAAAGTTAATTTGGTTGACAAGCCGCATAGTGCACTTTAACTAAATCTAGGTTTTGACTTTTATTCCCAAGTATTAATGTTAAATTAAAAGAAAGACAGTGATGAAAAAAAACTTTGATATATATATATATATATATAACCTAAAATATGATTAGATAAAATATATGATATGGACACGTATACATATCAATATAAAAAGTTAAACTCTTAAAGTCAAAATCCTCATTTGAAGTTAAAAATTATAAAAATACATTATTGTATTTGTCGATTAAAAGAATATGGATAATGAGAATCATCTCAATTCAAAAATAAATTCAAACTCATAACCATTTAATTAATAAAACTTTAATATTGAAAAATGTAAATTATGTGTTCTACTTTTATTGCTAAGTGTCTTTATATATAGATTACAAGTGATCAACATCTTACAATTAAGCTAATCAAATCAAAATCCTAGGACGTAATCACTCTCACAAGATAAGCTAATCAAATCAAAGATCCTAACAAGTAATCCCTCCCACGAGCGAGATCTTTCTTTACAATTAGATTAATCAAGATCCTAGGAGGTAATCTCTCCCACGAGATCCTCTTTTAGATAATCACTTCCACAAGATCCTCCATTACTCCTCTCAAATTGGAGAATAGAGATTGGAAATGCTCAATTTGCCTAGTAAGGCTTAAAACCGATCTCGACCAACTGGCTTTGATAAATATGTCTGCTAGTTAATACTCTTCCTTTCTGTTTTTTACTTAATTGCCTCGTAATTCCAGTAGACTAATTCTAGTTTCTATGATTGCTTTTATTTTTTATTCTTTTCAATTTCAGAAACTCACTTCAATTGCTACTATTTTTTGATTTTTTTTCAATCTTATTAACCCTCGTGAGGTTTTTGTAAGGTGGCTAGCAGGAATATGGGGAGAGTTTACAACATGAGTGTCCCTGATTGTGGGCTGCAAGAGTTGTAGCAAGTTAGGGGTGATTGTGTTTGTGGTAGAACGTTTTAAGGAGGATAGGGGTGGGATTTGTGTTGCAAGTGGTTATAGGGTTGCTATGTAGGGTGTGCAGAATGGTAGAGGTGTTGGGTGGATTGACAGGAGGTATGGGAGAATTGGCAACAAGGGGGTAGTCTATAGTTGTGGGTTACAGCAATGGTTGTTGTAGGATAGCTTAGCTTGCAAGATAGCTTCCAGTAGGGGTGGCAAGCTGGAGGTTGGGATCGAAACAAAACGTTCAAAAATATTAGGGATGAAAGTATAAAAATCTATACAACTTTTATATCATTACTTCCGAAAGTTCAAAAAAATAACAAAAAAACCAATCTATAGTAAATGAATAATGAATACCTCAATTCTTTTAGTTTTTTTCTTAATATTGCCAATTTAGCAAAACTATGGTAAACTAGAAAAAAATTGCTTTCCATATATCGGATTAGTACCATAGTACATTTAAACTCGATTTGTTTAATAAGTAAATCAAATCGAATCTTATGAATTCAAATAGAATTGAAGATATTGTTCGAATTTTAAATAATAATAATAATTAATTAAAGTAATTAATATGTAGCCTTTGTCCCAGATAAGAGATATGTTGGAATGCTACACTTCTTTCATGAGAAAAGATTAGAAAGACTAAAGGTCAGGAGATGAGAAGAGATTATATCAGAAAAATAAATATTACAAATACTGGTCTGACCACCTGCAGCAATCTGATCAGAAGAGAGATTAAGACAAATTAGCATTATAAAGGAGAAGAGATTATATCATAAACTGGAATCCATAAATTGTTCTACAAGAAATTATCTCCATTTATTCAGTATTGCAGCGAGAAACCTCACTTAATTATTTTTGGTAGATGCAGGGAGAATAACTTTAGCCCTTCTAAGTTCTAACTACGAAAGGAAATGCAGGACCACCCAACACCAGCAATTTCTTTCCATTCTCATCCACAATACCAGCAGACACACACCTTGAGCTGAGACGACAGTCTGCACCAGGAAAAAGTACAGTGACCTAGACTCCCTTATTATATATAGTATCTGCAAATCTGGGTCTGAAAATAAGAGAGGTTCTTGGCCAACATAAAATGGAAATGAACGAATACAAATACTGGTCAGACCACCAGTAATATCAGTTTCAGCTGGAAGTATATAGTATTCCACACCACTTATAAGAGGTTTTCCTTCAACATCAAGCACAGGAGACAAGGGTCGAGCCCCTGTGGATATGGACATTAGTAGCCAAATGAAGCTGAAGCTTCCAATCAACCTCAACACGGCTGCTAGCTAACTATCACACACAACAGAAACAAAGCAATAAATTATGCAAGATTGGGCCGCCTTTCTGTGCATCTTTAGGCTCAGATTTGGAACCCATTTATAGTACACAAAAGGGGCCGACGTACCACATATCACGACCAAAATAATAATAATAATAATAATAATAATAATAAGTCCCAAAGGTAATTATCATTTTCAAGTGTCACCTTATCCAACTGAGTGCAAATTACTTTCTCAGTGAGGGTAGTATTTCAGCATGAATAGAATTAGCAGGGTCCCTTCTTTTTGTTAGAGTGGACTATTTAGATACAGAAGGGCATGTCCCATGTGGCTATTCGATCATAGTTCTTTCTCTAGTGAATGAGGCAGGCTCGGAAAACTTTCCTTCCTCATACCTTGATCTTCCCATGTGTCTAGCAAAGGGATTGAGATCTCTCGTACTTTTAAAGAAACATGACGATCATATTTATTGAATTTAAATTTAATGTTTTAGATTTAGTATATGATAAATATAAAAGCAACTTTACTTCTTAATTAATATTTTATTTCTCCCAACTAATATGAATCAATAATTTCAAAATCAATAATTAGATATAATGGATCATAATTCTCTTAAGAACAAAAAAACTAAAAAACTAAAAAAAAAAAACAAATCCCTCGATAAGTACAACGAAACTAGATAACCAAGTGGCATGTAAATTTAATTCAATTGTTTTAAAAAAATTACTTATGCCACATCTTTACCAAAATGCAGACTTAAGTTTAGAAAAAGCTTTTCACGTGATCATGTGACTACTCAAAAAAGAAAGGTACTGTAAAATATATAGCTCAGATGTACCAAAAGAATTAGGTAACCTTTATTTTAAATAATAATTAAAAAAAAAAAAAAGCCAAACCTGTGTCATCACTTTTTTCTTTAAATATGGATAAAACTTTTTTCTTTATCTGTGCTCTTCAATTTAAAATAGTATATAAAAATTTGAAAGTATATGGATCATGGATCGAAAATAATAATTTTCAGTTAGGTCATCACTGCATAAAAAGCGAGAAAATCAGGATTTTTTGTTTATAAAATTTAAAACAGATCTGGTTTAGTTTTGGGCATTATATTTTCAAATTAGTTGTTAAATTTGCATTTCAATAAGTTAATTTCTTTATAAAAAAAAATAATTGATAGATTAAAAAGTTGGTAAAATTGAAAGTGAAATTATTGATCACATTTGATCTTTAACTATAATTCGTTATGTATGTTTTTTTTTTTTTTTTTCAAGACGATATGTCCAATGGTCCAAACTTATTGGTATTTAATTTGAAGATTATACAAATTCTTGGTTAATGATTTACTCTACAATTCTTTTAATACACTATAATTGTCTAAATTACAGATAAAAATGTTTATAAAAGTGTATTAACTATTTAAATGGCGTATATATATCATTATAATATGTAAATTGCTATTTTGAGATTGGAACACTCTCACAATGCCGAATTACAATGATCGGTACTTAGGGATGACAATTTGTCCCATCTTGATAGAACCTTGCCCTATTCCATTCGGTTAACGTAAGGATTCTCCGAGTTGACTAAGAAGCGAGACTAGACGCCCTTTCTTGCATTTATTTTGAATGGGGACAAGGCGGGAAAGGTATTTGCATGTCTCGCCCAATTTGCCTTGCTTTATCGTTGAAACCATAATTATACTTTACATAAAATCTGTGACTACTGATTCTTGAGATTTATTTTCTATATGAATTATAATTTTTTTGTTATAATTTGAAAGTTGTTAATAAAATAGGATGGGATGGAGTAGAAACAAAAAGCTAAACGAGACATCGATATTCCACAAGGATCTCTATCCTCGTTTAAGACGGAAATGATACAAGAAATATTGTCCGGTGGGAAACGCGAGACAAGAAGGGAGCAAAATTTTCAAGGGTGAGGTTGCCATCCTTATTAGTACTTGAAATAATGTTGGATATATAAGTGAGTTGGAGCGACCACGTAGCCCGAAGCCGAGATTAAGAAAGCACTCCACTTTTTGTAGTAGAGAAGCTAGTTAGATACCCACGTTATGCTTTGTGGTATAACAATCATTATATATATAAGATTACCGATTCGTATGGTATAATGTGAGTAGATGTTTTATTTCGAAGATTAATGCAAATCGAATCTATATATTCAGCGAACTTGTTTGATTTATATATATTTATTAACAAAATAATTTATAATATTAGTATAAAAATTTGTATTTAAATAATTAAAAGGTTCTTTCAAAACATTAGTTAAATTATTTCATTTCAAAATACGGATTTTAGAGCATGAAAAAAATAAATAACAAATAATTGGTATTATGTGTGCTTGATATAATTAATTTCTAACAAAACTATATATATATATATATATAACCAAATAAAACACCGTGAATTTTTTAATTAATTATTAATTTTCTAAAAAAAAAAAACAACCCAAATTATTTTTTTAACCGATTATTATTTTTTAAAAAAAATTAAGTCAAATTATCCGAAACACACTTTTAGCTCTTTCTTTCTCATCGAATTTTTATATGCAACAATGTCATTTTCATTGAAAAGTCATATATATATATATAACAAAATAAAACCTGTGAATTTTTAACTAATTATTAATTTTCTAAAAAAAAAAACAAGCCAAATTATTTTTTTAATCGATTATTATTTTTTAAAAAAATTAAGTCAAATTATCTAAAACACACTTTTAGCTCTTTCTTTTTCATCGGAATTTTTATATGCAACAATGTCATTTTCATTGAAAAGTCAAAACAATAATCAATCGTATGAATTATAATAATATATTTTAAAAAATAAAGCAATCATGTTCTAAAATTTTATTTCAATAACCATATTTAAAAAAATCAAATTTATTAAAAAATAAAATTATATAAATTTTAAAAATTAATTCGATGAGAATTTTAATAAGAAATAAACAATTGAAGAAATAAATTTTAAATAATATATATATATATATATATATATATATATATATATATATATATATATATAAACTAAAATTTTAAAAAAACATCACATATATTCTATTACTCATCAAACTGTATGTAAAAAATAACGATCTTTTTTTTATATATATTTTCACACCTAATTTCATGATAAAAAAAATAAAAAATAAATTATTTATATAGAAGGGGAACAATTGTCATCTGATATTTAAATAAATTATTTATTAATAAATATTATATTATTATACCAATATATTTAAAATAATATTTAACTATTAATAATAATATAATATTAATTTAATTATATAGTATAATTATCATATATACTATATTACTAAAATACTTATTAATTTTTATATATATTCAAATTCATAAAATAATATATTAATATATTGTATATATATCATAATTTAAAATAATAATAAATTATTCTATTGTATAATAAATACAATATTCTCAATCAAAATACAAATAACTATTTTATAACAATTATTTGATATTTTTTGTAAAACATAATGATAAAATATTATAATTATTAACTATAAATAATTTATTATTTAAACCAAATTTATTTCTAATAAATAAGAACCTAAATAATATATTTGACCATATAATAATAGTCCTACAAATATAAAAACTAAAAAAGAAAAAAAGGAGGCTAGACATTAGAAAAAAATAAAAAACAAAAAAGCACTGCTATTTTTTGAAAATATAATGATAATATATTATAATTATTAACTATAAATAATTTTATTATTTAAAAAAAATATATTTCTAATAAATAAGACCTAAATAATATATTTGATCATATAATAATAGTCGCACAAATATAAAAACTGGAAAAAAAAAAGAAAAAAAAAAAGAGGAATGCTATAGTGAAGTTCCAGCAACCCAACCCAAAAAAGAAAAAAAGAAACAAAAAAAAAAAAAAAGGGAAGCCAGACGTTAGAAAAAAAAGGAGAGGGGGGGGATTGGGGGTGGGAGTGGGTTTGCTACAGTCACTAAAAAAAGCAATGGTGGGACTACTACAGTAAATAAACAGTCTCACCCCCAGTTCTTTTAGTTTTTTTTTTTTTAATGATAGTTATAATTTTAACTATTTTTATAGATATTTTATTTTTATTATACAATAAAATATATTTTTAAGAAAACGAAAATTATTCTAGAAAATATTTATATTTATGAATGTTTTGAGCTGAGTAGTAAATGATTTAAGTTTGCTCATGAAAATATTCAAATTTTAAAACTGTAATTAAACTTAATTCATTTATTTGACCATTAAGTTATCAATATTTTATCAAGTCTGTCTTAAATCATTCGAGTAGTCTGATTCGTTTTATATTCCTAATTGCAGTCATTCAGCTTAATTAAGCCTTGAAAGTGCTCTTTCAAAAAATTTACCCTATTTAGATGATGTAGACTATATTTTTAGCATTAGATTGCTTTTTATTTCTTAAAAAAAACTCAAGCATTAGATTGGGCCTTGGCCTAATTCAAATACATTTCCAAAACCCCAGCTTGCAAAGAATTCCATTGACTCACCTCCGGACGGCCCATCTTTGCAACGTTTTCTTAACTGAATGTTTCGCACCCCATTGGCCCCACTAAAAGAACCTGGGTGGTAATTCTATATGAATAGTCCCACCTCAAGTGCTTTTAGTTTTTTTAATAATCGGATACTCACGTTACGTCATGGATAGACAATCGTTATATACGTAGGGTTAACGATTCGTATAGTTTAATATTAATATAAAGTTTTATTTTTTGTGATTAATATAAATCGAATCTATATATAGTTAATTTTTAATAAAACTATATATATAACAGATTGAGAGTATATAGAATAAATAGAAAAACATATAAAAAAACCCATCTAAGTTGTAGAAATATATTAAAGTCAATAGATTAAAATAAAAACTACAACAAAATTGGTTCGATAAATTCTGAATAAATAAATATATATATAAAAAATAAATAAAACTTGTGAATTTTTTAACTCATTATTTAAAAAAAAAAATTGAGTCAAACTATCTAAAACATACTTTTGGCTCTCTCTCTCTCTCTCTCTCTCTCTCTCTCTCTCTCTCTCTCTCTCTCTCTCTCTCTCTATATATATATATATATATATATATATATATATATATATATATATTAAAAATAAAGCACTCATTTAAAAATGTAAAAATAATTTATTTCATGAATTATAATAATATATTTAAAAAAAATAAAGCAACGACGTTGTAAAATGTTATCCCAAAATTCATATATTAAAAAACCAAATTTATTAAAAAATAAAATTATATTAAAAAAATTTTAGCTATTACAAATTTATAATAAAATAAAAAATAAAAAAATGTTTTAAAATGATCATTGTAAATTAAAAATGTGTTTATTAATCATAAGTCTTATATATGTGTGTCTGCAAAGGAAAAAAGAAAAAGAAAAAAGGAGGCGACCAGGTTGGGCAGCCAAAGCCTAGCGTTTGTGTGCTCAAGAGCCAAGCTTTGGCTGCTGGTCAACCCAGCAGCGAAAAAAAAAAAGAAAAGGAACAAAAAAAACAAAAAAAATCAGGATATTGTTTACTTATTGCTAACAACCTCAATTCTCTTACCCCCTGTTTGGATAAGGATGAAAGCGGGGGAGAGGAAAGAAAATGAGGTGGAAATGAAAGTTTTCCCCCATTTGGATGGTAGAGAAAACCAGAGGAAAGAAAATAATAATAATAAATAAATGCTTTTTTTGTGGGATCCATTTTCCTCCCAAATTTGAGAGGAAACTGAAAGGAAACTTGAAGCTGACCTTTTTTTTTTCGCTTTCTCGTTTTTACTCTTGCTTGGATCAAGCCTATGTTGCGTATAAGTGTCCTACTTTTTGGAACGATATCATGCATCTAGACTTCTATAGAGTCCGTTTATTTGGTTTCCCGAGCTAGGTTTTTGTTCTTTTCATAGGGTCGCATTTGTAAATTCATGGCTTGAACATGATTAATTATCAATATTGTTCACGACGCTTCTTGACTTGGAGTTAAAACCATTTGATTGGAATGCTTGAATGTGTAAGAAGTTTATATGTAGTTTTTGAGACATCAATATCTACAAGGAATAAAATAACTTCTATTAATATAAAATTGATTATTGTACCATAAACTATGTATATTTTAATTATTTTGTACCATAAAATCTAAAAGTTTATTATGTAGTTTATTGTACCATAAAAATATAATCCTAAAAGCATTATAATAAATATACAATAATACATTTTTTTTATAATTATCTAAACAAGAAAAATGTATTTTCTTTCCTTTCATTTTCACTTTTATCTAAATAATAAATAAAAAATGATTTTTTTTTCTTTTTTTTTCTTTAACTTTCTTTTTTCTCTTTTCTTTCCTCCCAAGAGGAATTATCCAAACAAGGAGTTAGTTTCTTTAGAATAATTATAACGGACTACATAACAGGGGCGTAATAGACCACATGTAACAAAATTCCCAGCCCAATTCTGGGAGTCTTCCAAAAAATTTCAATCCCACGATCCACTAGCCGTCAGCACTCTAACCTTCTCTTTCTCTCATTATGGGTGTACTTTACACTTGAGTACATCGACTTTTAAGTATGATCTAATAAAGTATGTAAACTTTAATATTTTCCTTTTAGGACTATTTTGTATAAGTTTGATTACTTTAATGACTTTTTCTTATTTTAATATCAGAGCAATTGTTGAAGGCGAAAGTAACGAAGTTAGCTAATATACTTAATTGAATCACATTTAAAAGTTGACGTATTTGATTCTAAAAAATAAAAGTTCAAGGCTTTAGTTATATTTTTTCTAAAAATCCATGCATTAGAAGTGTTCTTTTGCCAGCTCAACGAAAACACGACAATTCAACAAGATTTCAATTGATTTAAAAAATTAATTTAATAATTAAGGAGATATATTTCATTATGTGACCTTTTCGGTTTAAATTTTAAAATTAATATTCAGAAAAATTTATTATATTCTTTTAAATAAATCAAATAAATTTGAAAAGTGCTAGTAAGATCGTCTGAAAATAAAATTTAATTTTAATTGATGGATAAAATGACTCTAAAATTATCTTTAGCCTCAAATTAAAAAAAAATATATATATATATATATATTAAACTTATACTTGATTGATGCTAAAACTTAGATATTTATTCGATAAAAATTTAAGTGAATTTTATTTAAAGAAAAGTTAAAAGTTGGTGAGCAATAAATTTTGTTAATGAATTGTACAAGTCATGGTAAAAGTCATAAAACCAAAAAGTCAAGTAGTTCACACTAAGAATAGTAAAAAAAGAAGAAAAAGGTCAATATTCTATTCTCCACTATGCTCCTTTGTCAAATCAAGGCAGCCGCTAGGAACCTTCAACCTCTCTACCTTCCATCCCCTGTCTACCAAACCAAACTCCTTCGATCTTCTGACTTTGTATCTTTCCTTCCACTCTTGATGTTCCTCTCTCTCTCTCTCTCTCTCTCCCCAAAATCAAGCTCATAATCTATCCACCCCCCGCGATCTTTAATGGGTCTGCGGTACAGAAAGTTGTTGTTCGACTCTTCTGTTTATTGTTCAGAGTACTGTGAGACAGCAGATGATGGAAACGCTTGCAACAAAAAGTGCGTCGCTGCCTTCACAAATCCGAACTTTGCTGAATGTATAAGTTCCTGTGTGTTAAAAACTCCAGACGATTGTGGTTATTGCTTTGAGTACATGGATGCACCAACCTCCTCACAACACCACAGGCTTGGCAAGATTGCGTTGGCAATGATTGTGTTATCAGCTATAACTTTTTTCTTGCTTTTTGTTTTGCTGTCTATGTGAAGTTCATAAGACCAAGAAGAAGGAGATCAACACAGCATGAAGATGAAGAAGAAGAAGAAAGAATCGAGACCCATGGTCAGTTTGTGGATCAAGATCAAGGTCCTGTAGTTGATCATCCAATATGGTACATCAGGACAGTAGGGTTACAACCATCTGAAATTAGTTCTATCACAGTTTGTAAGTATAAAAGAGGTGATGGTCTTGTTGAAGGAACTGAATGTTCTGTTTGCTTGAGTGAATTTCAAGATGACGAGACTCTTAGGTTATTACCGAAGTGTAGCCATGCTTTTCATATCCCATGTATTGATACTTGGCTTAGATCACATACTAATTGCCCTTTGTGTCGTGCTCCTATAGTCACCAACACAGCTATAGCAACATCATCACAGGCTAATCTTGAGAATACAAGTGGTGGAGAAGAAACGAGGATTGAAGTCTTGGAAGATGATCAAGAATCGGATAGAGAGATGGAAGGTAGAGAAGGTGGAGTGAGGGTTGTAACAGAGGAGGAAAGTGGATTACAGAGTGAGACTTTGAACGAAGAGGAGGATGGGATACAGCCACTGAGAAGATCAGTTTCTTTAGATTCTTTATCAGCTTTCAAGATAATTCAGGCTCTTGCTAATGTTCATCCTGCAGTGGAATCTGATGGGAATTCAGGCAGCAGGAGGGCAGGCAGAGGGAATGGATCCGCTCGGGAAATTGTTCAAAGCAGAGGAGGTGGAAACCAGAACTTGATAAAATTCATGGCTACTTCTTCTTTTGCAAGGTCTTTCCAAATAGGGCCAAGTTCATTTAAGAGGTCCCTATCTTGTAGTGGGAAATTTTTCTTGTCAAGACCCTGCCGCAACCGGAATTCGGGTGTTCCTTCATGATGCTTTTGATCTTTTTCTTGGTTTTCTCTGTCAGGTGAGGAAAATTCCAACTGACATGTTTTGAAATCTCTCAACAAGCGGAGGATTTCATAGGTTTGATAATACAAATTCAACAAATAATGTAGTAATAAGACATAAGAATCTGAAGTTTAGGACATCACAATGGAAAACGAAAGTGATCCAAAATGGGATCATATTGTGTTTGTCACAGTTTGAGTTTTCTGAAAAGAAACATGCAATTGTAAGTAGACCTTTGATTTATTGAAAATGATTGTGCTTTTGTTCCATATTTTTGGTGTAGAAATTGCTGCTGCAAATATATATTTCTCTTCAAGCAGAATAATACTTTTTAGCTATTGTCCTGCTGCCTTATTCCTAACTCTAACCTTATTAGTTTTGGATGATGACATTTGTGATTTTTCAACCAAAACGTTGCTTGATCCTGAAGTAGATAATGATTTTTTATATTTTAGCCCTATTATTTACTTGCCTGGTCCCTGATTCCAAAAACAGCACCGCATAGTTGCTGCATCAGTAGCTGAAATTGGCTATTCAACTTGCCAACAACAGTTCTTTGGTCACCAATCTGCACCAGCACTTCACATTTGGTTGGTCACTGATTCCTTAAAACAGCATTACGTAATAGTATTTTGTATGATTAATAATATCAGTGGCTTAAAGTGGCACTGCTTGTTAGAACAACATGTGTTGGGTCACCTATCAAGCAGCAATTTAGCTGTGCTATTTTGTATGAGAATTTGTGGCTGAAATTGACATCAACTTCCCAACAACGTCTTGTTGGTTCACCTATCGACATCAGTAGCGTTATGGAAAATATCAAAAATCCACACCAGTGATGGGAGAGTCAAATAGTAGGCTCTTGGTTTACTATAATCTGTAAACTTCAAAACTATCAGTTCTTAACATATATGAACATTTTTTTGTGCAAAATAATCTTAAGTATACTAGCCACTGCAAATGGTGATTGTATGGAAATTCCAAATGTTTGACTCTTTTGTGCAAATTGGGTCTTGTATGGATCATGACATCAAGAATTGTTTGCAACAATTAAGGCATCTGTTTTCTAACCGGGGACCCTGAAGTTGATGGGGGTTGTGCTTTATTTTTATGCCTCATTTGTTGCCGAGTGATTGAATCGAAACAGCATGACATGGCTAATACTACTAAAGGTACGGAAAGGCTGAACTTAATAAAGTAATCTTTACAGAAGTTAGCAACAGTAATCGTCAATATCCCCAGGAGCAAAGGAGTGGTTATTGTTGTATAAAATAAAATGGCATTCAAAGGATAAATATGATTGGAGTCGTGTAATTATCGTTTTCAAGGATATTATTTTGTATTTTTCAAGATAAAATCAATCTTTTTGTAACTAAAACCAAGTAATTTAGGCTGATTTGGTGAAAAAAAGATCAGAATAATGATGAAGTAAAATTTAAGAATATCATCAAAAATTTAGACCGATAAACAGTCATAATGAATCTGTCCTATGGCAGCCAAAATAATAATTATATCTTGAATAAGTTCAGGTTTATACTAAAAAATTTAAATGAGTGAATTGAAAAAAAAGTTTGGATTAGATTTTATTATTATGCACAAGGAGGGCAAACGAGCCGTTTTATCTTAGATTGGATCGGCTAATTCATGTTCAAACCCAATCAATCTTTCTTGCCTTTTATAAGTTTATAATACACTTCTTTTAATAAAATGTTATCCAATGTCAATGTGAGATAAAATTTTTTGACAATTATTAAGTGAAAAACGTTGCAGGAAAAACAAATCTAACGTAAGCCTGAAAAGAAGAAAATGAAAATATTCATGGAACATTAATTGTACATGCCTCATAAACTTGATTCTGTAAAGGATGACCACCATAGTATGTGGTACATTGCGTGCATTATCTTCTTGAATGGTAATAAAAATTATTTTTCCTAAGCAAAGCTCCTCACTACAGATAAACCTGTTGTTGCTGCTTCGATTGTTAATCTATCATCGACGATATAGAAGTTAGGTTCTGCCTTGACAACAGCTAACGACATGATGCTAGAGTGACCCCAAGCCTTGGAACTGAACCAATATTGGTCTGCCAGGGGGGAAAAAAAAGGTCTGGATAGATGTTTTTGACAGGGAAGATAATCTTTACAACAAATATATCTCTAAGCCAGGAACGGAAGGGAAGGGCCCTCTATGTTCCTTTGAATATTTGTATTCAATTCGTTTTTCATGTAACACAATTATTTACTTGTCAAAATTAAAAGGAAAAAAAAAAAAAACAACAACAACAACAAGAGCAGCAAGATAACTATGCCAAATAAACTCACATTTTCGTTTAAGATGACTACTCCCTACTAGATCCTTAATGGACAGAGCCCATTCTGCAAAGAATTTCAAGATGATCAAGAAATGCTATAACTACCTTTAATTGAAAAGTACCTTGTCCTGAAGATGGGCATACAAAAACACTTCGAAGATGGCATTGGTTTTCCAACCAGGAGGCAGAACATTTGTATCTGACAAAACCAAGTAAAGAGAGACTATGATTTAATACCTTTACAGGATTTTAATACTTGAATGTGAGGAGTCCTAAAATTTAAAATCTTAATTTTTACGAAATCTGAATAAATGAAAGCTAACAAGCGTTGGAATACCAAGTGTATTATATAATTGATGGAGAATGGGGAAAAATTCACATGCCATGCTTACATGGAGAGACTCTTGGGAGTGTCTTTTTGTGTATCATCATTGGAACTAGAATTTAATAGAGCAAGTAAGGGTTTTTGTGAGTTATACGAGGTTCTGTATCCAACAAAATCACTTTGTTTTTTTTTTTTTTTTTGTCAGATGACAGATCCTGTGCTTGAATGATTCCAAAAACTTTGCCTCTACAAATTGTAGGTCTTATGTCCCAATACTATGCACATTGACAAGTACTCTCAGCTTCTAAAACCCTTCTGATCTCAGCTTCTAAAACCCTTCTGGGTATATTATATATAAACATTGTCAATATTTTATTTGAAAAAATTAAGTTTCTGTGACAAATATAACGACACAAAAAGAAAAAATGGAGATATCAAAGCATGCAAAAAAGAGTACAGCTGCAGATATAGGATAAATGTAGGACACCAAGCTTAAAGGCTGAACTTTGAACAAAGACGAACCGGGTGGAATAGATTTACATCAGTTATCTAATATTGGAAAAAAGATGATCGAGAACCATCATGTTTCACGCCTAAATGGTCTTCACTGTCGATATGACCTTATTCATGAAAATTCCTTTACAACAAATGAACAAGTACTCCAAAATATCAATTCGATAATTAATGTATCATCTGCTACAAAACCATCTGATGCCAGGTTGGTAGCAGGAGTAAATGACATGAAGTTATCGTGAACCGAATCTGTCGATGAGTCGCTGAACATTTTATTATCTGCCGAGAAAAATGATAGATTAGTGCTTCTGACATGATGCATAGAAAATAATTTATCCCGGAAACAGTATGTTTTTTAGAAAAATATTTATTAAAACAAGTATGATCTTAGGTACTCACATTTCATGTCATGGTGATAGCTTCCGAATTGATCCTTTACGTGCATTGTGTACTCCACAAACATTTTCCATCCAGCAGGCAATTTAGAGGAATCAATAAGATGAAGAAACAATGATAAAGATTTGCCCTTTTGTGTCGAATATCCAGCAGGCTGGTTGAGTGATAATTTCCTGAATTCAATGGAAAAGATTAGATAAATATCCAATAGACAAAATAAATAATAATGAAATTCAATGTCTGGAAGTAACTACGGAAATTAAATTAAAATTGGATACCATTCTTGCCTTCCGACAGAGAAAACATCAGAGCAACAATGACATTGATCATCAGCTAAATCTGAGAGCCTCTCAACCTTCCAACTAAAAGAACCACCAATCGGATCCTTAATCATCGATAAGTGCTCCCCTTTATGTTCACTTCTGATAACAAAAACTTCAACTCCAAATACACAAGAATCTTCAAGCAAGAACCCATTTGAAGCATCATTGAAAATGCTATGAGGGAGTAACTGGTTACATCCCCATTCGGTCTTGAAAGCATGATATCGCCTTACAATCCCATCTACGGTTGAAAATATAAAAAATAAAACAGCATGCATGTAAGAAATGTACGTAAATCAATGAGCTATACCCATATATAGATAAAGGAAAATTAGTTTAGCAACAAAGAGATCAAGGAAAATTAGGATATGATCAAATTAGAGTGTAACAGTCAACCTAAGGAAGTTTTTTTTTTTTTTTTTTTTTTTTTTTTTCTGGAATGACTTGACATAATTAGGATATGATCAAACTTCATTTGTCCTCCATCCAAAAAATAAAAATCCATTGGCTGAAAAAATCATATTGTTCAATAGCTACATTGTGAATCTTAAGATCATACGATTTCGATGAAATTGTCAAGGAGTACCTTCAATGGTCAAGTACTTGTCCTGAAGCTGGTCAAACACAAAAAACTTGAACAAGGCATTGATTTCCCACCCAAGAGGGAGATGATCATTCGTGTCTGAAATTGCCAAATAGAGAGAAAGATGACCATTGTCATTCCTTTTCGGGTCTCCATTTGGGTAGAGAATCAATCTCCTGTGGCATGAAAAAATCAAATAAATTTTCTTATAAAACAGTTTTAAACATAATACTATAAAACTCTAGCATTGCTAAACCTACGTACCATTTGTATCCACTGGCTTCAAAAACACGAGATTCATGTTTGTTAATGCCAGATTTAGCCAGCAGTTCTGAAAGAACTGAGAATGAATCAACTTTCATTGTATAGTGGGCTGGTGCTTCATGTCTGACTGCCTTCACCATATCTGTAGAAAGTTTGTACATTCGAGACGTCTCAATCTTATTTGAGAGAGAAATGCAAGAATCACCATCACTATTGCTTAAAAAATTAAAGTTGAATTTGACATATGCAGTACAAATAATGCAAAGAAAGAACAAGTTTTTTACACATTGGATTGATAAGAACTTACAAGGAGTGGTCTCAACCATTATTTATTCGCTTCTTGATTCAATGTTATTGTCTCTGATGGTAACTTTTGTTAGAAGCCTCTATTTATAAACGCATGGATACACCCATACCATACAACGACGACAGAGACTCTTCAGTACCATCCACTGTTTATTACTACTATTTTTCAGTTCTGCTTTTTATGTTGGAGTAACTGATGAGGTTCTGTGTTCCATGACTCCATTTGCCATGCATTTATGAGCTTTAATTAGCCGCTAAAATCCTTCGAAGGTTTTCAATTACCATCATTGTCCTTAGCTATGCGTTACGGCTTAAACACTTGAACCAAAATTAAAGGAAATCTTCCCTTGCTACCAAAACATTTTGACTATTAGAGATAATGAAACAAAAAATAACATTTGCTCACAAAATAATAATTTGTAGTTTAAATAACTTAAAATTGATAGTATGAATTTTAAATTGTCATGACTCAATAGTGTAAGGGTAATATTTGTCATTAAACTTTATTAAGAGATAGAGAGTAAGAGAAAAGGATTTGGAACTCTAATTATAGTTCAATAAATAGAGATTTAAAGCGCAATTTTGATCAATTGCACGCGTAAGCTATTCCAAACGTGACAAGTTTTGGGAAGGAAAAAAAAACATTATGGCATTTCTCTTTTCATTTTTTTTAATGAAAGGTGTTTTAGTCATATAAAATCTAAACTTGGTTATTTACAAGTCACGCAATGTACTTTCATTAGTTCTAATGATGAAAATATAAGGAAAAAATAGATTAGAGATACAATAATTTCTTAAAGATAGATTAGATATAATAATTAAACATATGATAATAGATTAGATACGACACCTAAAATATAAAGATATATAGAGCCATTTTTCCTATTATATATGGTTTAATGACATTTTTGTTCCTAAATGATTAAAGTTATGCCACGTTGAGGTCTGTACTATCAATTCTATCCTTTAACTATCACATTTTGAACAAATATTGTCCATTTATTTGATTTGGTTGTTATCATTGGCCAAAAAAATCGTATTAAGAAATATTAATTTTTTGGTATTTTGAGATTAAATTTTTTATTTATGCTAATAAAAATTCAATCTACTTTTAAAATAATTTCAAAAATTTTTAAGATCAAGAAATTTTTTTTATTTTTCTTAAGCATTAAATATTAAAAAAAATTACAAAAAAGAAAAAGAAAGAAAATAATTTGAAATAATCCTAATTTTTGTTGGGAAGGGGTGCGGTAAAAAATATTTACATAGTCAAATATGTACACCTAACTAAGTTTAAAATAAGTTAATTTTGATAACCACATATTAAAAAAAATTATAACTGTAATAACCAATTTTGTATAAAATTAAAAAAAATTAAAAGAGAGAGAGAGAGAGATTCAAGAATTCAAAAAAAAAATATTGCATAGTTTGTCTTTTTCATGACGTTTAGGCATTTTTATAAATTTCTAGAATTTTAATTTTTTATAATTATCTCTCTTTTTTAATTAAAAAAAAAAGAGAAAAATTAAATAAAATTGAAAAGATGATTTGGGATCTAATTGAAAATGAAGTAAAAAATGAGGATCAAGTGACATTCAAATAGGGATGTAATTGAAAAGGAATAAAAATTAAGAAACTTAATTGAGAATTAATTAGTGTGAACTTAGAAGAAATCAAAAGAATATGGATTAAACAATTTCAATTAAGGAGCTAATTGGAGAAAAATGATGAAACATAAATTGAAATTGAGAAAAATAATCCAAAGAAGGACTTAAATTAATTTATCCTGAATCCAAAAAAAAAAAATTGCTATATAAATATCATTTTACTTCATTTCTTTAGGGAGCCTCCATCACACATCTACCTATCCAAAAAAAAAAAACTTAGCTACAATATTCTACTCGCTCTAAAACAAAAAAATCTAGTCTCCACATTTATCTATCTTTCCACCAAAAAAGCCTTAGTTAGAAAAATGTAGCCCCCACCATTCATTGTCTTCTCTTCCTTTCAATCCATAAAAGGCTATAGCTAGAAAAATTATTCATCTTTCTTACCAACAACTATTTTCTCCCAAGAAAATACCTTAAAAAACCAAAATCTCTACCAAATAACCCCTAGAAGATAACTTGCCAATCTGGATTACCGACTCGGACTGTTCAGTACTATCCATTGTTTATTGCTACTATTTATCAGTTCTGCTTTTAATGATGGAGTAACTAATGAGGTTCTGTGTTCCATGATTCCATTTGCCATGCTTGTATGAGCTTTCATTAGCCGCTAAAATCCTTCTAAGGTTTTCAATTATCATCATTATCCTTAGCTATGCGCAAAGGCTTAAACAATTGAACAAAAATTAAAGGAAAATCCTCTCTTTCTACCAAAATGTTTTGACCATTAGAGATATAAAAGAAAGATAACATTTGCTCAAAAAATAAAAATTTAAGATTCAAATAACTTAAAATGATAGTATAAATTTTAAATTATCATAATTCTATAGGGTGAGAATAATGTTTGTAATTAAACTTTATTAAGAGATAGAGAGTAAGAGAAAAGGGTTTGAAACTCTAATTAACAGAGATTTAATACTCAATTTTGATCAATTGCATGCGTAGACTACTCCACAGGTGGCAAGTTTTGAAAAAAAAAAAAAAAAAAACGTTATGGCATCTCTCTCTCTCTTTTTAATGAAATATGTTTTAGTCATATAAAATCTAAACTTGGTTATTTGCAAGCCACGTGATGTACTTTCATTAGTTCTAATGGTGAGAATATAACCAAAAAAAAAAAAAAAAAGATTAGAGACACAATAATTTCTTAAAGATAGATCAGATATTATTAAACATATGATAATAGATTAGATTAGATACCACACCTAATATATATATATATATATATATAGCCATTTTCCCTATTATATATGGTTTAATGGCATTTTTTGCCCCTAAATGATTAAAGTTATGCCACATTGAGGTCTATCACTATCAATTTAACTATTATATTTTGAGCAAGTATTGTCCCTTCATTTGATTTAGCTGTTATAACCGGCCAAAAAACCTTATTAAGAAATTTTAATTTTTTGGTATTTTGAAACGAAATTTTTTACATATGTTAATAAAAAATCAATCTATTTTTAAAATAATTTAAAAAATTTTTTAAGATCAAGAAGTATTTTTTTCTTAAAAATTAAATATTAATAAAATTATAAAAAATAAAATAGAAAATAACTTGAAACAATCCTAATTATTGTGTGTGTGTGTGTGTTTGTTGGGGGGAGGGGGGTGGGGGTTGTATGTTTATTAAAACATTTGCATAGTCGAATGTGTAATACTTAACCAAGTTTAAAATAAGTTAATTTTGAGAACCACATATTAAAAAGGTTTTATGACCATACTAAAATTACCTATGTAAATTTATATAACCTCTTTAGTGCTCTAAAAAATATTTGAGACAATTTAGCTTCTTCTTTTTTTCTATTTTTCATAATTTATTAAATTTTTATTATTCAAAAAAAAAAAATTCCAACTTCAAGAAAATTTTAAATTATATGTGAAAGATGATTAAATTTTCATTAAAGTACAAAACTTTCAATTTAAAATACCAAAATATGAATTTTTTTAAAAGTGGTTTTTTTTTTTTAATCAAAGTAACGGTCAAATTAAACAAAAAGAAAATATTTTATAAAACATGATAGCTCAAGAACAAAATTAATCAAATTGATAGTATATGTCTAAATATACTACCACTCTAATAATTCAGAAACAAAAAATGCCATTAAACCTATTATATAATCGTATATTTGTCTTCCAACTTGAATGATTGTGAATCAAGAGTATATTTAATTAAAATATATAAAGTTTCCAAAATTGATGAAATAAAAAATAAATTTCTCTCTTCTATCCTATTAGTTTTAAAAATTATATAAATTTATCTTTTTAATCTTAGCATGCTTATCGAAATATTTGCATCGTCGAATGTGTAACACTAACTAAGTTTAAAATAAGTTAATTTTGGGAATTATATGTTTAATATTTTTAAGAATCATAATGAAATTACCTATGCAAATCCATATGACCTCCTTATTGCTCTCAAAAAAATTTGAGACAACTTAGCTTATTTTCTATTTTTTATAATTCATTAAATTTTTATTATTCAGAAATAAAAAAATAAAAATTTCCAACTTCAAAAAAATTTGAATTTATTTGTGAAAGATGATTGAATTTTCATTAACATCTACAAAATATGAAATTTGTTTAAAGAGGTTTTTGATCAAGAGTAACGGTCAAATTAAACAAAGAGAATATTTTTCTAAAACATGATAGCTCAAGAACAAAATTAATCAAATTGGTAGTATAGATCTAAATATGCTACAACTCTAATAATTCAGAAACAAAAAATGCAATTAAACCTCTCTCTCTCTCTCTCTCTCTCTCTCTCTCTCTCTATATATATATATATATATATATATATATATATATATATATATATATTCCAACTACCTACTTGAATGATTGTGAATCAAGAGTATATTTAATTAAAATATATAAAGTTTCCAAACTTATGAAATAACAAAGAAATTTCTCTCTTTTGCCTTATTAGTCTTAAAAATTATATAAATTTATCTTTTTAATCTTAGCATGCTCATCAAAATATTTGCACAATCGAATATGGAACACTAACTAAGTTTAAATATTTATATTTCAACTACCTACTTGAATGATTGTGAATCAAGAGTATATTTAATTAAAATATAGAAAGTTGCCAAACTTGATGAAACAACAAAGAAATTTCTCTCTTCCGTCTTATTAGTCTTAAAAATTATATAAATTTATCTTTTTAATCTTAGCTTGCTTATCAAAATATTTGCACAAGTCGAATATATAACACTAACTAAGTTTAAAATAAGTTAATTTTAAAAATCACATATTTAATATTTTTAAAAATCATCATAAAATTACCTATGTAAATTCATATGATCTCCTTATTGCTCTCAATAAAATTTGAGATAACTCAGCTTATTTTCTATCTCTCAAAAAAAATTAAGACAACTCAGCTTATTTTCTATTTTTCATAATTCATTAAATTTTTGTTGTTCAGAAACCAAAAAAAAAAAAAAAAACCTTTTTTAACTTAAAAAAAAAAATTGAAATTATTTATAAAAGATGATTGAATTTTTATTAATATCTACAAAATTTTCAATATAAAATACCAAAATATGAAATTTTTTCTTAAAGATGTTTTTGATCAAAAGTAATGGTGAAATAGACAAAGAGACAATGCTTTCTCAAAACATGATAGCTAAAAGATAAAATTCACCAAACTGATCGTATAGATCTAATTAAATATACCACTACTCTAATAGTGCATAAGAAAAAAAAAAGCCGCCATTAAACCTATTATATATTCATACGTCTTCCAACTACCTACAATGATTGTCAATCGAGAGTATATTTGATTAAAATATAAAAAATTTCCAAACTTGATGAAATAACGAAGAAATTCCTTTCTTCTGTCTTAATTGAAGTTCAATTCATCATCATCCCCTAAACTCCCAAGGAAAAAAAAAAAGGCTGTCCATATCCTTGAATTGATTTAGTCGACAACTGTGGGGCTCCATCTCTCAAACAAAAATTACAAATTGCCAATTGATGTGAAGGCTAACAATCAAGTTCTTGTCCACATACAAAATGGATATATAGCATAGCAACGTTCCAAACATATCCGTAACCAAATCATTGAGCTCTCCGTCATTTCCTAGTATGGCAACTGAAACAGCTTCACTTCTTCCCTCCCAAGCTTTTCCAAGTCCAGCACCAACCAAGATAACAAGCATCAAAACATTAGCTGAATCACCTGGCCTCACCTCCATCCCTGCCACTCACACCTTCGCTCCTCAGCATCTCCTTGACCAAGTTATTTCTGACCAAGAAGCCTCAATTCCTGTCATAGATTACTCTCTTCTTATTTCAGGCACCTCTGATCAACGATCTAAAATAATTCATGAACTTGGTAGAGCCTGCCAGGACTGGGGCTTCTTCATGGTATATCTAATATCCTTTTTTTTTTTTTTTTTTTTTTTTTCACTGAAATTTTATGTTTGATGGCTTGGCATGATGTCGAATGACTTTCTTAGCAACTTGGGAGGTCTTAACTAGTTGGCAAGTGGATATATTAGCCTCATTCAAAAGGCAAGGTGTAAGACTGTATTTTGTCATACATCCTTATCCCTGCTTGAATAGCCTTTTTTTTTTTTGGCCTCTTCATCAAAACAAACTTAGTTCAGTGTGTATCAACTTGGATAAAATTTTGAGTAAATTATAAAGTAGGTTTTATAGTTTTACAAAATGAATAAAATAGTCTTTTTAGTTTTTAAAATCAATAATTAATTGGTCTTTATATTTTTAAATCTATTTGTAATATAATTTTTGTGTGTCTATTTTATGGTTTTTTTTCAATTTATTTTGTTTTCTAAGAAATAGAAAAACGAAATAGATAATAAGAAAAGATTGATAAGAAAAGAAAATATTTGTTAAAACAAAGTACTATTAAATTAAACGTGATCAATATTAATCAAAAAATTAATTAATTAGTTTTTAAAACTAAAATGAGTATTTAATCATTTGAAAAACTAAAGGGACTGATTTATAATTTACTCATATAATTTAGTTACTTATTCAAATTTATTTATTTAATTTTTTTTTAAAATGCTCTATAATTATGTAGATATGCTCTTTTTTTTTTTTTTGAATTCAAATATTGAAGTTTAGACGATGCAGAAGTGCGTTTTTATAGTTATATAAAAAAAAAAAGGGGAAAGAAAAATTGATGTTCAAATTAGTCTGAGAATATTTCGTTTCATCAAATAATAATAAATAAAAAAAACTTAAAACAGTCAATTAAGATTAGTAAAAATTATTTAATATATAATTGAATAGTGCAAATGCGCAAACACACCATGCGAAAGCTAGTATTTTTTCAAATATATATATATATATATATATATATATATAGTACAAGTGAAACATTTGTCCTTCTTCTTGTTATTATTATTAGGTGATCAATCATGGAGTGCCAGAGAGCCTACTCAGCTCGATAATTGATGGGTGTAAAGGATTTTTCGATCTGCCAGAAGAGGAGAAGCAAGAGTTTAAAGGGAACCATGTGCTGGACCCAATAAGGAGTGGCACCAGCTTTAATGCTTCAGTGGACAAAATTTTCTGTTGGAGGGATTTTCTCAAGGTCTTTGTACATCCTGTGTTTCACTCACCTACCAAACCAGCTGGTCTCAGGTAAATGAAAGAATTTTGGAGAAAATTAATGCATGATTAAAATTTTCTAGAGGATTTTTTTTTTCCCCCTTTTTCTTTCTTAGAGACAAGAAAGAATATTTGTGAGCAAAATGCATGATTAAAGTAGAATTCTTTTTTCCTCTTTTGGAGCTTCTTAACCTTATGGATTATAAAAATCAACAAAACTGCAGTGAGATTTCATTAGAGTACTCGAAAAGAGTTAGAGAAGTAGCAAGGGAGTTACTGAAAGGAATATCAGAAAGCTTGGGATTGGAATGCAACTATATAGACAAGGCACTGAATTTGGAACAGGGGAAACAAATACTTATAGCAAACTTATATCCACCTTGTCCACAGCCAGAACTTGCAATGGGCATACCTCCTCATTCAGACCATGGTCTGTTGACACTTCTAACCCAAAATGGAATTGGTGGCCTTCAGATTCAACGCAATGAAAAGTGGGTCAATGTTGGTACTCTCCCCAACTGCTTCCTGGTTAACACTGGAGATCACCTTGAGGTGCATTCTGGCTACCTATTCATGTGTTATCCTTTATTGCAATCGGAGCTTGCAGTCAATTCAAGACTCCTAAGCCTTGATATTTTTGTTATAACTTAGAAGTTTGTGTTGTTTTGTTAGATTTTGAGTAATGGAAGGTACAAGAGTGTTTTGCACCGAGCAATGGTGAACAACAAGGCTACAAGGATATCCATAGCTATGGCACATGGACCATCACTAGACTCAGTCGTTAGCCCAGCACCTGAGTTATTGGTGAGCAGTGAGGGCAATGCTGCAGCAGCATTCGTTGGCATGAAATATAAGGACTATCTGGAGCTTCAGCAAAGCAACAAGCTGGATGGGAAATCTTGCTTGGATCGAGTTCGAATTTCAGCAGTTTAGTTGCTACTACTTCTTGTGTGTACCAAACCATAAAGTAATCACACTTTTATGGTTTTATGTGCTATGAAATGGATAAAGAATCAGATTGTAATGAAAAATAAAGACTTGTTGTAAACTATAAGAAGTGGGAAAATCTTAAGATCTTAAGATCATCTCACTCTTGCTTGTTATGTAACAAGCGAGCTTAGGAAATTGCAAAATACTATGTGGTTCCTGTCTGCAGTGCTCTCTTATGGCAATGTTTCTACGTGGGATCAGTTGGTGTCATTTTCTGTGGCTGCTCAATTTTTCTCTGCTATTATAATTACTACGCACCCTACAGTGACACAGAATTTAGCTGCTTTGCTCTACCGTAGGAAATTTTATGTCCAAAACAGACTCTCTTGTTTTATCCATCTGGGGCTTCATTTCCTACTTCTATGGGATCTCAAACAGAACAGAAGGAGGAAACAAGATTCAGGTTGAATAGGTTCTTTTAGGGTAGTTAGATATAGGAAAAATTAATTTGATCACTGTAAGAAAAAAAATTATGGCCTGTACTTCATGATGAATCGAACTCTTAAACGCTACACTATCATAGTATGTTCTATTTTTACTTCTATGTTTTTCTGCTATTATTCTGATTCATGATAAATTAGTTTTCACTTGATAGCAGAATTTGACTAACTAGCAAGGTTTTGGGGGGATATGGAGGTTTTGTGTCCGCTGTGCATAAGTAACTAGGTAGTGTGCACTTACAACCAAATTTTTCATTATGGACTGTTAGTATTAGAATTTCGTTTAAGTCACTAATTAATTGCAGCTGTGCTTTGATTTTGCACTATCAAGACATGGTGCATATGCATTTCCATACTACCAAAGTTGTGTATGTCCAAAAAAAAGAAAAAAGGTTGGCTGGAATTCTGATGGCGAAGCAATTCCATCGCTCCAAGAACTGTACTCCCTAAAGGATTGAAGTAGTTGCACCAAAAACAAATGCAGCAACTCGTTTCCACAACGTATAGGACTCAAATTTCCACGTTACAGTATTACAAAGAGTCATTCTGCTAAACAAAATTAACTTATAAGATCGACTCTATATTTTTCTTTTCGTTCTTATTTTTCCGTTTCTCCAAATGGGGTTTTCGGGTTGTTCTTTGTTTTTCAGGTATTATGCGATTCTGAGGTAACTAGGAAATCCTGATTTGCCCACATTTAAATTACTCAAAGAGGTAACTCTATGGTTCTTTCTGTTGTATCTTGCTTGCTACTGTCATTTGTTTTACAATTGTAGACTATATGCCAGTTTTGTTATCGCACTGATTGTTCATCACTAATTAATACTTGTCAGTCCTGTAATTTTCCTCTTTGCTCCTTCCCATTCTGCAATGGGAATTCTACCTTTGATCAGAAGGGTGGACAAAAACATTCGACCACACATGCGAACCTATGCTCCATATGGGGCATTTGTCTATCAGTTTTAGATGCTTTAGGAATTTTTTTTTTTTTTTCCTTTTCTTTTTCTGTTGCCCTTCAATTGGTGTTTTTGTTTGTGTGTGGCTTTGGAATGTGGAGTAAGAGTTCCCATATTTTTGGGATCATTCATTCAACAAACAAAAGGCCGATATTTTTGGGATTTTCTGTTATAATCTGCTATTTTTGAATTATGTACTTTGACGATATTATCGTCTTAGATTTCCATGGAATGAATTAACAAACTACCAACAGTTTTCAAAAACCTGAAAAAAAGAGTGTAATATGAAGAGTTTATTTTCATTTTCCGTTAAGGTTACTTTTGTAGGTAAGAGAATTAGGGAGCTTCAAAAGAAAGGTCCATAGTCTCTTCCAAGAATTTTAACCTATCAATTGCGGCTATGTTAGATTTCAACTTCCTGCTAAACACATCTAGATACCTGAACCAGTTTAGAAAAAATTCTCCAAAGTTGTCTCAAGGTCCCAATTTATGAATTGCAGTGATTGCTAAGGGTTAAATTATTGGCATGCAAAGATGGAGAGCAGTAGTAGTAACCCAGAATTATCAGAAGCAGAGAAAATGAGGAAATCTCTGAAAAAACTCCTGCTCATTTTGAATGGTGCATTGCTGGCCCTAGGAAATTGCGGTGGCCCACTTATACAGCGGCTCTACTTCTTGAAAGGCGGTAAGAGTGTTTGGATATCCAGCTTTCTGCAAACTGCTGGCTGGCCGCTTGTCCTTTTTCCTCTCATTGTTTCATACATGTTTCGCCGAAGCAAGGAGGGTGCTAGGGCCAAGCTCTTCTATATAACCCCTCGGCTCTTCCTTGCTTCTGCTGTTCTCGGCGTTCTTACTGGCTTGGATGATTTTTTTCCGCCTATGGTGTTTCCCGCCTTCCTGTTTCCACTTCTTCTCTTATAATTGCCACCCAATTAGCCTTTACTGCTGGATTTGCTTTTCTTTTGGTCAAGCAAAAGTTAACATCTTTTACCATCAATGCAATTTTGTTGTTGACAATTGGAGCTGTTATACTAGTTCTTCACGCGAGTTCCGATCGCCCTGCCAATGAATCTAACAAGCAGTACTTTTTGGGATTCTTCATGACACTTTTAACTGCAGCACTATATGGATTTGTGCTGCCAGCAGTTGAGATGACATACAAGAAAGCAAAGCAAACCATAACCTATACTTTGGTCATGGAGATGCAGATGGTTATGTCGTTCTTCGCGACTGCATTCTGTTCTACTGGGATGCTCTTACACAATGACTTTCAGGTCAGTCTCCATAGAATACATGCTTGCACGGACACGCATTGTAACTACTTGCTTATAAATGTAGGCGATCTAATCCTTCGAAGATCGATTTTGTTATTCTTTGTTGCAGAGAATCCCGGAAGAAGCAAGTGCATTTGAGCTTGGGCAAGAAAAATATTATGTGGTGATCATTTTTAATGCAGTCTTATGGCAATGCTTCTTCATGGGAGCAACTGGGGTGGTTTTCTGTGGCTCCTCATTGCTTTCTGGCATTATAATTGCCACCCTCCTGCCCGTGACAGAGTCTTTAGCTGTGCTGTTCTACCATGAGAAATTTCATGCTGAAAAAGGAATTTCTCTTGTTTTGTCTCTCTGGGGATTCATTTCTTACTTCTATGGTGAGCTCCAACAGAAGAAGAAGAATAAGAAAAAGAAGAAAACTTCAGAACTAGAGTTAGCTTAAGCATTAAATTTGGAAGTTTTGCACATTCAAGAACCATGATGCTGAACATTCTTTATCTTCCTAATAGGTGAGATCCGAAAAAAAAAAAAAAATCCAGAATCATGCTTCTTAACTAAGGATATTTAGCTTGAGGAATGATTTTAATTAGTTTTTTTTTTATTGAGATTAAGATCATTTCTTGTATGATTTTACTTTATATTTTTCATCTTAGCTCCTAGGGCCAACAAGGCAAACAATAATGATGTTGCCATGCTGGTCTTCTCCCTACAGAAGCCAGAAAAAAAATTATGCATCAATGTTTTGTACTCTGTATATGGAAATTGTGGAGGGAGGAAAAAACAAAAAAACAGATTTACACGTTTTATCCATAAAAATCTCAACACTGCTAGTGTCCTATTTGGAGGAAATACTACATCTACTACTAGTTACTCCAAATTCGCTTTTATCCTAGAGAAATTGATCTTAAAGAGGTATATTAAGTATAAGATCAATGTGAGAATGTATCTTTAAAATAGTCCATAGAAGAGATTCAATCTCAATTGACACACAAACTGATCATAAATCTCAATTTACCATAAAATGAGATTTACAATGGGAGAAACTGTGAGCAAATTTCAATTGAATTACATGTAATTTACTGGAAGCAATTCAACTCATAGTGAACTGCATGTAGTTCACTTCAGGTAAGGAAAACGGAATGTTGTCTGCAACTTCACTTCACTCACAATTCTTATGTGCATCTGCTAGGACCCTAGGCTTATTGCATTACTTTTTTTAAGGTAGAATGCGAGAACTTAATTTCTTTGATTTCTCCTTTTGATCTAAATTAATGGTCATTGAGGCAGAATGGTGTTATTGAAATGCTGATTTGCAATGACAAGAATAGATACACTCATATAATGGTACTTTCAAATGTACTTAACAGATTTTGTAATTGATTGTAAGTAACCGGTGGTAGTAGAAACTATGAGTGAGTATCAAAATTTTATAAAAATTGTCCTCTTGTTGTTCCTATTTTTCAGTTAAATGACCTAATTGTGTTGGCTTCTGGCTTACATCTATATAATGTAGTTTCCTTGTTCGTTCCATGAATTTTTGAAGTAGTACTCTTTCATCTTAGGTATATATAGTAAGAGTTTCCAAGGGAAAACACAAATGCTGAGTACTATTAACCACATGAATGCAAGTTATTGAACAGGATAATTTCCTGCGTTGTACGTAGTTGGGTCCTTTCCTATTACAAATTGTCATTTGTTTAGATATGTTTCCATTACAGCTGATGCTTTCCTCTCTTAATTATATTTTCAGAAATTGTTGAGGCATTTCCATGACTCATGATTCTTCTTCATATTTGAGGTTGGGGCCTAGATGCTGTGGAAATTAACGATGAGAGTTGGATTAACGACTACCCCACCCCGACTTGTTGTTAATCTAAAAGAAATTTATTATTATTATTATTATTATCTTTGAAGGAAAATGATATTCTTTTGCTCCACTAAAAATTAAGAAGATATATAATTACTATGTATTTTTGAGCTTTTTCTTATGCACCATATTGTGCTAAATGACGAAAGAATAAGAATTTTCAGAAGAGAAAAGCGAGAAAAATAAAATTTCTTAAAGCGTGCGTGCTTATAGTTGCTTATGTAATTCGTTCCCCGCTTCGCATATGCAACCAAAAAGGGAACGAACTTAACCCGGCAAGGCCGCTGCGGATAAATAGGCATGAAAGATTTTCTACACATCCTTCATATGCGTAAGTGAAATGGGCATAAAAGATTTAGCCTAGGTATTTGGAAACATGGATTATAAATTCTTGATTTTTTTTTTTTAACAGTGGTGGCCACAAGAGAAGTAGGTAAGATGGGCAATTGCCCAATCCACACGCTATAAAGATTGAAAGCCTCTTGCTAGATGCTCAAAGCCCATTTAAAATTTTAAAAAAAAAAACAAAAAACAAAAAACAAATCGGTTTAAACTAAAAAAATTAAAACTGAAACTGAAATTTCGGTTTTTAACCCCAAAAAACCAAATTTTAATTCAGCTTGATTTCGATTTTTTTTTTTTTTTTTTTAATTCGTTAACCAACAACAGAACCGAAATTATCTGAAACCAAACCGAAAAACTGTTTGCTCAAGCACCGTCCTGGTAGTTTCTTCTCCTGTAGAAAAACACAGCTTCTGCTGAAAAAACTGAAAAAACACCAGCCTTTCTCCTCACAAAACTCCATCCCCCCCCGTTGTACGCAAGTAAGTACGAGAATCACTCTCTCCCATCTACGTTTTCAATTTAGTGTAGATTTTGCTTGTTGGATTTCTTCATGTTTGTGTAAAGTTCTAGTCTTTTGATTGGGAGTTTATGTTTTCACCTTTGATGTTTTTTTCATCTGGTTTTTTTTTTTTTCTTGCTAATTCTTCTATGAACAAGAAAAAATATTCATTTGTCTGTATAATACTAGTCCATGTTGATGGCATAAAGTGTATTTAGGTTATGTGAATTTTTCCTACTGAGAATGATTGTATGCTTTAAAGAATAGAAATTGTAGAGAAAACGCTTCAATTGTGAATCTTGGTGGAATTACTGTGATATTGTTTAGAAATTTTGACTTGGTTTCTGTGTGCATTTGTTGGTGTATGAAACTCACGTTGAGATTTATATGGTGTCGGCGTTGTAGTTTAGTAGGCAATAACTTAATTATCAGACCTTTGAGAGGCAGGTGATACAAATTAGTTTGTACTTGGTGACTCGCTATGTTAATTCTGGTGCAATACTAGCAGTGATTTTATAATCTAATCATCAGGTTATAAGGGACTGCTTTAAGCAGTATTTATGATTTTGCTATAACATGTTGCTTGCATTCTTTGAACTGCCTAATAAATTGGAGATTTTTAGTACCTCTGCTGGGAAATGTCAAGCGGATATAACAACCATGATGTGGCCTCTAGGAGTGTCAAGGCTGCTTATATTAGCTCTCGAAGTATTGTAATTGCTCCTGTATTTGTTGATTGAAAATGGCCTTTTCAGTTGAAGAGCTTCTGTAGATATAAGCTTCTATTGCTGGAAATTCAAAGATATAGTGATGATGGATATTCCAATAAATGTAAACTGTCAAACAATTGGGTATAAATTAACTAATCTTTGCATGGAATCTTTTTCCCTCATCATGAGAGCTCATGCTGTTAACAGTTAGGTCTACTTTTTTCATTCTGCTACAGGTTCTGATTTTTATATGAAATCAGTTCCTCGGCTCCTATATTTGTTCTATTTGTGTGCTGCTTGTTTGTTATAGAACTTTTTGATGCTGGTTATTTGTAGTCATTTTTATGGTAGATCCATATTGAAGGCTTCCACAAGAATATGCAAAGAATTTTAGCTTAACATCATTTTATCATTAACGGAATGCATAAACAACAAAAGGAGAATGTGGGAACACAAAAATCAATTAGCAGTAATTTTTTTATCAAATGATCACAATGTGACCCTGCAGGAATCAAGTAAATCTATCCATTAGGAGATTGAGTTGAAAGGAGATAATACAGGATAAAATAATTTGATAGATGCTAATCATATGTGTTTCTTGATCTATACCAGATAGCAGGAGAAGCAACTAAAGTTGGTGACAATGAAGGAAGAAGATGTGAACCAATGCCAGATTCAGGAATGGTACCCAAAATTCAAGTCTGTGTCTATCAGAACAATAATCCATGAACTTCCAGAATGTTTTGTCGATTACCTTCTTGATGATTCAGGTCCTTTCCTCCTCCCACTTTCTGTCTCAGGCGAAGATGCCCTGCCCAATAGAATTCACAACCCCATAGATGAAGAAGACTATCAGGTGTCAGAAGGATCTGGAGATGAATCAGAGCAACCTCCATTGCCCCTTTCTTTCCCAGAACTTGAATTGAACATTAAGGAGTCAATTAATACCCTTGGAGGTGCAGTTTTTCCTAAGCTGAACTGGAGTGCACCGAAAGATTCTGCTTGGATTAGCTCATCGGGGACCCTTCGCTGCACTTCATTCAGTGAGATAGTGTTACTGCTGCAATCATCTGACTCATTGGTCCATGATTTGTGCCACGCCTATGATTCATGCAGTGACAAAACCTTGTCAAGACCCCCTAATTTCTTTCTTGCACTTCGGAAGTGGTATTCATCTTTCTTGCCTGAGATGGAATTTCGCTGCTTTGTTAGGAGTCAGGAGCTAGTTGGAATCTCACAGAGGGAAGTTACTACATTTTACCCCACTCTCCTTGAGAAGAAAAATGGTCTTCAACTGTTGATTGAGGACTTCTTCACTGAGAACGTAAGACAAAAATTTGAATCGGAAAGTTACACAGTTGATGTGTATGTGACAAAGGATGGGCGTGTTAAGATATTGGATTTTAACCCATGGGGTGCATTTACGCTCCCACTGCTTTTTACTTGGGAGGAACTGGAGCAGAATCTCAACAAAGAGGAGGATGGAGTGGACTTCAGAATCGTCGAGAGCCATTGTGGAATCCGTCCAGGTCTGAAAACAGCAGTTCCGCAAGATTACTTGGATACTGGCCCAGGGAGTGGTTGGGACCAGTTCTTGAGAAAGGCTGATGAGGAGTTGCGGCAGCAGAAAATGGATCCTGGAAATGGTGCCTGAGGGTTCATTATATTTTGACTTTGAGATTAATGTGTTTTTCATATCTTCTCATTAGTTTCATGTATTCTGTTACTGCCATTCAGTTGTGTTTGGACACCAACATTGGATCTAGTACTTTGCTTTTGCCCAGCAAGGGACATGCGACGCAACAATAATGATGTGTACAGAAGTTTTGTACCAGTGCTTGTATTAACAAATACATATCAACTTTCGTTTGTGATAGATTTACCTAAACTTTGTTACGTTGCTTCACTGTGGTTTAATCGCTTCATGAGAAAGTGATCATTGGACCAAGATACCATAGTTATGATATCTCACAAGTAGTCTTATTAATAACTCATTAGTATTTTATTTTTGAGAAATAATTATTCATATTAAAAAAAAAACTAATTAATTAGTCTTTTTATAATTATTGATAATGTTTAATTTAAATTTATTTTATTTTACAAAAAAAAATGTTATTTTTTTTCTCATCAATCTTTCCACTCTTTTTACTCTCTCTCTCTCTCTCTCTCTCTTCTATTTCTTAAGACAAAAAAAAATTTGAAAAGAAAGAAAGAAAATTACAATAAAATTAAATAATTAGTTTTTAAAATGAAAATAATTAATAAGTTTGTTTATCAATCAAAACTAGAAGGATTAAGTTATAATTTACTCTAAATCGACAAGGATCTTTTGTTTTGTTTTGGGGATAATTATTTATGGTCAAGTAGTATTCTACACTTTTTAAGGGGGTTGTTTTCGTTTTATTACAATTTGACAATTTCGGGTTTTTATTATCCATTTGTTAATTTGAATCCAAAATATCAATTTTTAGACAAATATTATTCAAATCCGTTAATTGTAATAGTCAACCTAGTTGACCATTAATTTTTTTCTTGCTTTTTTTTTTTACTGCTTTTAATTTAAAAGAATGTTAAAAAAACAAAAATCACCATTTTTCAAGAGAGATTCTTTTATTTAAGGTTTCCATATTAATCCCCATGATTTTCATAGCCAATCAATTGTTATTTGTATTTAATTTTTTTCAATTTAGAAAAAAATTTATGTAGTATGATTATCCATTAAAACACTAAACTTCTATAATTAATAAAATAAAAATATCAATTAGTTGAATTCGATCAATTGAAATTATTAAATAATTAATTTTAACTGAAACTTTTCTTTTGTCATGCCAATAAATTTATTCTTGAAGTTGTCAATCATTAAATTTTAAATATAATTGTATTTATCTAATTTTTTTTTATCTTCACATATTTTATAGGATTTTTTTTCACAATTGATTCAAATATATAATATGTATTTAACTTGTTATAGTTAGAAAACCATATTTTTTTAAAAAAATTCTAATTTTATTTTTTAGTTTTTTAAAGCTAGGTTCAAAAAGTGAAAGCTCTTATTGAGGGAGAACAAAAAAAAAAAAATGGTGATAAATTTAATAAAATTTTTATTTATTTATGGGTAAACGTGTGGGGAAAAAATATCTCTTGAAAAATGGAGAAAAAGCATTTTTAATTTTTTTTAAATTAACAAAAAAATAATTACAGAAAAATTAACGATCAACTAGATTGATCATTACAATTAACCGATTTAGATAAAATTTACTTAAAACGATATTTTAGGGTTTAAATTAAACAAATTGATAATAAAAACCTGAAATGATCAAATTAGAATAGAATGAGGGACACTTTTTACAGTAAAACCATTTTGTTTTGTTTATCCAAACCCATAAAAGGTCCATAAATAATAGAACCAAGAGACAACAGAGCACAAAGCTAAAGTGCATCCTGAAAATAAAAGACCCTCAATGACTGTCATAACTCATATTTTTGTCATATATTTTCCTTTAATTTTATCCCTTTAGATTTTTATTTTTTATTTTTACTTATTTTTAATTATCCCCTCTGTTTATTATTTTATTTATTTCTTATTTTTATTTTATTTTAGTACTTACTATAGAAAAAAGAAAAGAAATAAAAAATGTAATATATATATACATACATACATACATACATACATACATACATACATACATACATATATATATATATATATATATATATATATATGAAAATACAAAATTGAGGGATATGTTTAATCAAGAGCATTAAATCCCAGCTTAAAATTGGAGGCTATTAGGGGTCAAATTGAACAAAATTTGGGATGAATTAAGGACATAATTAAAAGGAATTAGAGGACTCGATTGAAAAACACTTGGGAAGTTGAGGGACTGAGTTGATAAATTGTTGAAATCAATCTTTGAGACAGCGAACGATTGTTCATTGTCTCCTTCATTTCAAAACCAGGGATGGTTTTGATTTTTCCTGATTTTCCAACGGACTTTGATTCTCAGCCAGCTCACCTTTCGTTCTCATTTGCATGGTCCGCAAGTTGCGCTGCAACAAGTGAGGACGTTAGAAAAAAATAAAAGAACGGACGAGCAGGAGGTTTTGATCGAACAGTTTGAAATAAAGGAAATAAAGGGAGAATCAAGTTTGTCAGCATGGAAGCAGGTATAAATAGGAGAGGTTTAGCAGCTGATAGAGAGGGGAATTAAAGGGGGAATCGAAGAAAGAAAGAGAAAAATAAAAAAAGAGTTTGTGTGTTTTTCAGGAAGAACAACCCAGTTTTCTCGGCAAGGAATTCGACCATTCCTGGGTTCCTATAGCCTTTTCAATCCATAATTATTTCAAGTTCCCGTTCCAGCTCTGCCATTGCTATTATTTCTGGTTCTTGCAAACAGAGACGATACAATAGTCCCAACATTTCCAAAGTCCTCATTCAAGCCTCACCTTCATTCAGAATCACCAGGTATTTACTTGTCCATTTTATGTTTCATTTGTATGAGTTCATTTCCAGTTTCAATTCATAGGTTTTCATAGCAACAAATAAGAAGGATTTTGCCACAGTCACCATGCCACCCCATCCCTAACCTATATCTGTTGAAATTCAACTGGCTTGAACTGGTATTTGTTGCTTGAGTTCGAATCGGTAGAAATGAGGGGAGAGATTCGTTGACAGCTCATAGGTGGTTTATGTTTCTGGGTTTTAAAGAATAAAATGGGTTGAACTAGTAGCCGGTGAGGAGAAAATTCAGGGATTTCTGGTTGAGGGTTGTTGGAGATCAGATTCACAACAAAGGAATGAAGGATTAGTTGATAATTCGGCTTTGTGGGAGTTTGGTTCCTCGAAGGGATTCGAAAGAAGATAGTTTAGGATTTGAGAAAAGAGAATCGAAGGAAGAAACACTTACACTAAAGGCTGTGTTTGTTTGGGAAAAAAAAAGTTTCATGATCTTATTTTCTATATTTTTTAATGTTTATTTCACATTTAGAAAAAAGTCAACATAAAATGATTTTCAGTTAATGAAAAATGATTAAGTATTTTTGGAAAAAATGTTTTCCTAGTTAAAAAAGAAAAAAACATTTTACTTCTCATGAGTCATGTTTCACTCTTGTATTACTTATCTCTCTTTCGATATATTTTAATAATTTTTTTCTCTATCTTCTTTTTATTTAAAATATATCAAATTAATTTTTAATTATTCCTTATCAATTATTATCAATTATTTAATCATTTTCCTCTATTTCTACTCGATATTTGATTTTTTTAATTTATAAATAAATTAAATATTATGAAAAACTATTTTTACACTTTAAAATTATTTTTATAATAAATATTTTAATAATTTATCTTCTTTTTTTTTACTATTATCTTAAACACTACCTAAACTATACTTAAATGATTGAAAATAATTATTACAAGACTCGTAATTTTTTTATTAAAAAAATTTAAAATTAATTAATTCATTAATAAATACATTATTTTTTCAACACTAGTTATTTATAACTAAATCAATAATTTGTAATTTTAATCGGTTGTAAAATTTTATTGGTAATTGTAACATCCTAAATAAATTTTCATATTTTGCATGTGTATGCTTGTGTTTGTATGTTTTGATTTTATATTATTGAATAGATTTAAGGATATGGATGAGTCTTATTAAAGTTAGGGGACCATTTTAAAAGTTGAATATAATTATAGGGACCATATTGTAATTTAATATCCCTTATTAATGCCTTTGTTGGAACCATACGGGTTCCATCCTTTTCTCTCCCTTCCCACTTTTTCTTTCCCCTTTTCTTTTTTCCCATAACCCAAACAAGCACTCCCTTCCTCCATACTTGTTGTCTAACCTTTCTCATCACCAAACAACCTTGAATTATGATAGTTTATGGTGATTAAATTGGATTTTAAGCAAAATTGGAGCTTGAGGAGTTGTTGTTCTAGAGGTTAATTTTGAATCCCAAAAAAAAAAAAAAAGGTATGTTCTTATCATAATTTCTAGTTATGTGAGGTATTTTTGGATATTATATGGTGTTTTTGAGGTTGGTTTATGATGGGTTTGTCTTTTGAAGTGATATTAATGAGTCTATTGAAGTGATATTGATAAAGTTAGGGTTAATACCCAAAATTTTAGAGAAAAGTTGATTAAGTGATTTTAATGGATTAACTAATGATTGTTTTGCTTTAGGCTTCGTTTTATTAAAACAATTCGAGATTTAAATGGTTAGATTTCATTGATTAAGAAATTATATGGTGTTATGCTCGAAATTGAAGTTTTGTGAACGAGTGGTTATTGAAAAGGTTGGAAGATGATGAATTATTGATTTAATTATAGGTTATATTGTAGAGTATGAGAATTTTGATAAATTATTGATTTACTTAGAGGTTATATTATGGTTGTTTTAATTATAGGAATTGATTAACTTGAGGAAAATATTGTTGAAGTGCTAAGGAATTAAGGTAAGCATGGTTCAACTCACCACAATGACCATATGTGTGATATGTATTATATGATTGATTGTGGTAAGTGAATATTTATATTGTGTGATTAAATGTGTTATGTGATAATGTGTTATGTACTCTATGCATTTACATCATGAGCATAGTTTTACATCTTTTCAAGAAATGCATTGAAATTATATATGCATGAAAGG